GTAGGGGGGGGGGGGTCGTCGTGTTTGAGAAGAGTGCAGAGAGCTGTGTGATGTGGGTTCACAACACCCTTTTACCACCAGCTGATATATGAATACACTTGTGTGTAGGGGGGAGGCAGGGGGAGGTTGTCATGTTATGAGTGCAGAGAGCTGTGTGATGTGGGTTCACAACACCCTTTTACCACCAGCTGATATAAGATTACACCTGTGTATAGAGGGGGGGGGGGGGGGTCGTCGTGTTTATGAAGAGTGCAGAGAGCTATGTGATGTGGGTTCACAACACCCTTTTGCCACCAGCTGAAATATGAATACACCTGTGTGAAGGGGGGGGGGGGAAGGCAGGGGGAGGTTGTCATGGTTGAGAAGAGTGCGAGAGCTGTGTGATGTGGGTTCACAACACCCTTTTGTCACAAGCTAAAATATGATTACAGTTGTGTATAGGGGGGAGGGGGAGGCAGGGGGAGGTCGTCATGTTTGAGAAGAGTGGAGAGAGCTGTGTGATGTGGGTTCACAACACCCTTTTATCACAAGCTAAAATATGATTACACTTGTGTATAGGGGGGAGGGGGAGGCAGGGGGAGGTCCTCATGTTTGAGAAGAGTGGAGAGAGCTGTGTGATGTGGGTTCACAACACCCTTTTACCACAAGCTAAAATATGATTACACCTGTGTATAGGGGGGAGGGGGGAGGCAGGGGGAGGTCGTCATGTTTGAGAAGAGTGGAGAGAGCTGTGTGATGTGGGTTCACAACACCCTTTTACCACCAGTTGATATAAGATTACACCTGTGTATAGGGGGAGGGAGAGGCAGGGGGAAGTCGTCGTGTTTGAGAAGAGTGCAGAGAGCTGTGTGATGTGGGTTCACAACACCCTTTTACCACCAGTTGATATAAGATTACACCTGTGTATAGGGGGGGGGGGGGTCGTCGTGTTTGAGAAGAGTGCAGAGAGCTGTGTGATGTGGGTTCACAACACCCTTTTACCACAAGCTAAAATATGATTACACTTGTGTATAGAGGGGAGGGGGGAGGCAGGGGGAGGTCGTCATGTTTGAGAAGAGTGGAGAGAGCTGTGTGATGTGGGTTCACAACACCCTTTTACCACAAGCTAAAATATGATTACACCTGTGTGTAGGAGGGGAGGGGGAGGGAGGTTGTTGTGTTTGAGAAGAGTGCAGAAGGCTGTGTGATGTGGGTTCACAACACCCTTTTACCACAAGTTAAAACATGATTACACCTGTGTGTAGGGGGGGGGGGGGGGAGGCAGGGGGAGGTTGTCATGTTTGAGAAGAGTGGAGAGAGCTGTGTGATGTGGGTTCACAACACCCTTTTACCACAAGCTAAAATATGATTACACTTGTGTGTAGGAGGGGAGGGGGGAGGGAGGTTGTTGTGTTTGAGAAGAGTGGAGAGAGCTGTGTCATGTGGGTTCACAACACCCTTTTACCACAAGCTAAAATATGATTACACCTGTGTGTAGGAGGGGAGGGGGGAGGGAGGTTGTCGTGTTTGAGAAGAGTGGAGAGAGCTGTGTGATGTGGGTTCACAACACCCTTTTACCACAAGCTAAAATATGATTACACTTGTGTATAGGGGGGAGGGGGGAGGCAGGGGGAGGTCGTCATGTTTGAGAAGAGTGGAGAGAGCTGTGTGATGTGGGTTCACAACACCCTTTTACCACAAGCTAAAATATGATTACACCTGTGTGTAGGAGGGGAGGGGGGAGGGAGGGTGTCGTGTTTGAGAAGAGCGCAGAAGGCTGTGTGATGTGGGTTCACAACACCCTTTTACCACAAGCTAAAACATGATTACACCTGTGTGTAGGGGGGGGGGTCGTCGTGTTTGAGAAGAGTGCAGAGAGCTGTGTGATGTGGGTTCACAACACCCTTTTACCACCAGCTGATATATGAATACACCTGTGTGTAGGGGGGGAGGCAGGGGGAGGTTGTCATGTTATGAGTGCAGAGAGCTGTGTGATGTGGGTTCACAACACCCTTTTACCACCAGCTGATATAAGATTACACCTGTGTATAGAGGGGGGGGGGGGGTCGTCGTGTTTATGAAGAGTGCAGAGAGCTATGTGATGTGGGTTCACAACACCCTTTTGCCACCAGCTGAAATATGAATACACCTGTTTGAAGGGGGGGGGAAGGCAGGGGGAGGTTGTCATGGTTGAGAAGAGTGCAGAGAGCTTTGTGATGTGGGTGCACGTACATCCTTTTACCACCAGCTGATATAAGATTACACCTGTGTGTAGAGGGGAGGGGGGGGTCGTCATGTGAGAGAAGAGTGCAGAGGGCTGTGTGATATGGGTTCACAACACCCTTTTACCACCAGCTGATATAAGATTACACCTGTGTGTAGGGGGGGGGGGGTCGTCGTGTTTGAGAAGAGTGGAGAGAGCTGTGTGATGTGGGTTTACAACACCCTTTTACCACAAGATAAAATATGATTACACCTGTGTGTACGAGGGGAGGGTGGAGGTGGGGGGGGGGGGGGTCGTCGTGTTTGAGAAGAGTGGAGAGAGCTGTGTGATGTGGGTTCATAACACCCTTTTACCACAAGCTAAAATATGATTACACCTGTGTGTAGGAGGGGAGGGGGGAGGGAGGTTGTCGTGTTTGAGAAGAGTGCAGAGAGCTATGTAATTTGGGTTCACAACTTCCTTTTACCACCAGCTGATATAAGATTACAACTGTGTGTAGGGGGAGGGGGAGGCAGGGGGAGGTTGTCATGTTTGAGAATAGTGCAGAGAGCTGTGTGATGTGGGTTCATAACACCCTTTTACCACCAGCTGAAATATGAATACACCTGTGTGTAGGGGGGGGGGGGGGGTGGGGGGAGGCAGGAGGAGGTTGTCATGTTTGAGAAGAGTGCAGAGAGCTATGTGATGTGGGTTCACAACTTCCTTTTACCACCAGCTGATATAAGATTAGACCTGTGTGTAGGGGGGGGGGGGGGAAGCAGTGGGAGGTTGTAATGTATGAGAAGAGTGGAGAGAGCTGTGTGATGTGGGTTCACAACACCCTTTTACCACCAGCTGAAATATGAGTACACCTGTTTGTAGGCGGGAAGGGGGGGGGGGGGGGGGGAGGTTGTCGTGTTTAAGAAGAGTGCAGAAGGCTGTGTGATGTGGGTTCACAACACCCTTTTACCACCAGCTGATAAATGATTACACCTGTGTATAGGGGGGGGGGGGAGGAGGCAGAGGGAGGTCATCATGTTTGAGAAGAGTGCAGAGAGCTGTGTCATGTGGGTGCACTTAAAACCCTTTTACCACCAGCTGAGATATAATTGTATCCTCAGGCAGTATGCCGGTATGCCTTGACAGATTTCTTTCAAATTTTGTATGGAGGTGTATCTTGGTATAATCTACACACCCATATCTTTTGGTGATGCTGCCCCTAGTGTTCCGTCTTCTATAGGGTAAAAGGCCATATTTTTGTGGCTGTCCTTTTGTGCACTCACATAACTGCCACATTTCTTGACAGATTTCTTTCAAATTTTCTATATGCATTATACTCTAATCTACACACTTATTATCCCCTCACCGACGAAGTCGGAGGGGATATAAAACTGCTGCCGTGTGTCCGTAACAAATTTGGTTTCAGATCGATAACTTCAGTAATGTTTGACACATTTTAATGAAATTTGATATGAAGGTAGATAATATCAAAATACAGGCTAAGTTTGATTTTGGAGTGTGTAAGTCAAAGGTCATAGCTCATTAAATATGCAAATCTGGTTTCCGATCCATAACTTTAGTATTGTTTTGACAGATTTTAATGAAATTTGATATGAAGGTACATGGTATCAAAATACATGTACAGCCTAAGTTCGATTTCTGAGTATGTAGGTCAAAGGTTAAAGGTCATAGCTCATTAAATATGCAAAAACACCTAATTAAATATGTAAAAATGTGGTGAACTTCCTTGCCTAGTAATATAATAGTGTAGTCCAATGGAGGTAATTTGTTCTGACGTATATAGGCCATTTGTACCCTGCGGGGGGATGCTTCGCTTTGCGTTGACTTGTTGTTTTGGTAATGCTGCTCCTAGTCATGGCAATATCCTGAGCCACTAGTGGTGACCTCTCTTCGTCATCCTTATGTTACAGGGAGGGGAGAGGGGATCTTTGTCCCTCCTTCGAACGTAAGGATGACACAAAATCACTGCCACTGCCGGTGGAAACATTCACATTGCGCGGCAATACAGATTGCGATATTTCTAGTTATCATTATCATTACACTTATATTGTAATGTTTGATGATGATTGTTTTTATCATTATTGATTGATAATTGATATTGATTTATTCTTGTCCACAAAAGTGAAAAATGTGTCTTCCACCCAGCACAACAGGATTTGAAACAACAAAAACATAATGTACAAATTTTAAAAAATAGGATAATAAACAAAATACTGATAACGACAATACAGGTTAATTTAGATACTCAGTATTGCACCAGAAATTGTAATGTGTTCCATCATGACCATAAACTTTTCTTGCATCACCAATAATTTATATTAACCCTTTGACTACTGTACCAGAGTGGTCTCTGTATTAAGCCTATGGGAATAAGAGAATTCAGTAGTCTATAGGTTTACATTATTTTTTAATTATACCAATTATTCAGAGAATGAAAGGGTCTGCATATTGTAGGGTTCAAGATTATTAAAGGAGAAGACCAGTTTTGGAAATGCCCCCCTCTCACAAATATGAAATGGAAGCTCTTATTACCAATCATGTGAAAGAATATGTTTTGACTAATATGTGATGATACAAATTTTGCCGGGAAACCGCCTACTTATTGATATATTTGGTAAATTATCATATTTATCCGTCCTGGATAGATATAGGGTAGTCCCATATACATATTTATGTGTACAGTGCTTATGATCAACCTTTTCTGATCGATTCCACGTTTCTTTCACAATGCAATCGCATGACCAGAACTAGTTTATACCTTTAGATATTTTCAATATATTATGATGATATCCAACAGGAGCGAGGATTTGTTCTCCATTCTACCGATGTTGTTCAGTAATGAGAGTGATCTTGGTTTGGATCATGTACAGCTACAGCATCTTGTGAATGGATACAAGCAGCTACAGAAGGCCAAACTACTCACTAGACAAGTATAACAAATCTCAGAAAATACCTCATTAATGTGATAACTTGATAAAATTGAACCAGTGTTGACTAAACTGGGCTGAGGTATGTACAAGCATGAACAGATTGAACGAGAAGTTTGGGTTTGTGAGGGTAGATGCTAAAGGTTACAGAATCATTGATCAATGAATAAACATATAGGCAGAGGCATATTACAGACGCAGTCTTATTCAGCTTGTTTATTATATACTGTTTACCAGTGTTAGTCTCGGAGAGGACCATGAATTGATAATAATAATAATAATAATTTTCCGCTTTTATATAGCGCACAATACATCGATACAACGTTTTGCCTAAGCGCTTTACAGATATATGCTGTTCGACAAAATAGGTACATACAGTATTGTGAAAAACACATTCCAAAATATGTTGTACATGGCAAGTTCAAAGTGTACGCAAGAGTTTATGTAGAAATCTGATCTATGCACCATTTCCCCTACTCTGAGAGTGGTGAACACAAATGTACCTGTTGTCATTTGTCTAAATTAATGTCGTTGAAATGGGAATGTTATTTTCTTTAAGATGACATATTTTAATCAAACAACAAAATATGTAATGTAACTAAATAAATTTTCTTTAGCTACCCATTTTATTTTGGTGTTAAGTTCTATGTCAAAGTCAGTAATGATTTTGGGAATCCTGTCTTTGTTGATAGACAACCAACCAGGCTTTGTCCATCTTGGACTTTGTGATGCGTGGACTGGTCAAGAGAGGAGAGAACGGTCAGGAGGCGAGGAAAATGACCCCTTCAGAGATTGACTTAGGTCAAAGGTTACTTGAGCTAGCATTCCAGCTCGGAGTCCAGGTAAGTATCATTTAATTGTAGATCTGCACTTTGCTGTTTTATATTTATCAATGGTTGTGTACTTCTTTATGAGATTTGTATGGGAAATTATTATTGTAACTATTGAAATTACGTAAGTTTTTAGCATAATATAAAACAAAGTAAAATTTGTTGGGTATTATGTTAGTATTTCTTTTAAACATGCCTAAATTTCTTAAAATCAATCCCATTTATCTTTGATAGTTTCTTCACCTTTTTTTAAAGCGATACACATTTCAAATTAGTGTGAATCAGAGTTTTCAAGGGCTTAGAGGCATTGATTTGGATGATGGCTTGCTTCGGTATTGCTTTAATATCAATCTTCGTGAAGCATACAGTATGTAGAGAGCCATGAGGGCATTAACTTTTTGTTAAAATAAACGAGTTATTGCTCTTCTTTCTCTCATCAGATGGTATGATGTATCCTGCTTTATTTCAAAGTTATTGAGTATCTTCAATTCTGCACTTGTATATAAATAGTGAATTATAAATCAATGACTGAAGTTAGATCTGCTCCGCGATGTTTCTTCAATCTCCCTTCTCGCCCCGCCCCCCCCCCCCACTCCGGGGTCGGAGGGACCGCATTCATGTTCCCAAAATGTCCCGTAAAGGAGTACTTTTCATGCAACAAAGTCTGGCTCGTAATACACCAAAAAATCGGCCCCTATTGAATTTACACACCGGACTTGGGGGGGTGGGAACATGCATAAGCGTACCCTATATAACACTGAGTGGGGGGGGGGGGCTCTCGTCCTTGTTGATTGTTGATCCCTCAATGGTCCAGGAATGTGTGTCTTTGTTATATTGAAGGAATACAAAACCTTTCTATTTTAATTATCAGACAAACAGCTTGATTGATTGCCTGTTGGAAACCACACCCGTCGTCAGCTCAACGCGATCTTTGACCTCTAAGTTGTCTGCCTCCCAGACCAGCCTGGGCGTTCTGTTCCTGACGACGTACAAGCAGCCCATCATGGACCAGCTTGTAAAGCATGGACAGGACACTGTGTATGAACTGAGCAATCGGGTTAGAGAGGATAGAGGGACTATAGGGATGATCATCTATGGCTTGCTGGAACATGCTGTGGGCAACAGAGAGATCAGGAAAAGGTTTGGAGCAGAGATATCACTAAGAATTGTTGAAACATAAAGTTTTAATGTGATAGTTAGAGTATACATGTAGGAGTGATAAGGTGTGGCTAGAACACGCTGTAGGCAACAGAAATATCAGAAAGAGGTTAGGAGCATAGAGATCACTAAGAATTGTTGAAACATTAAAGTTTTATTGCATTGCTAGAGTATAGGAGTGATGATTTATGACTAGAACGTGCTGTAGCCAACAGAGAGATCAGAAAAGGGTACATCTGTATATAGATTGAACTTTATTACAATAATTAACATAAACCTCACTGATAAATTTGGCATCTCTTGATCTACTAGCTGTGAAGAAGTCCCAATTTGTGAGGATCATACTGTTCCACGATTTCAGTGACGTTCTTACCGATGTTGATTTACTTCAAGGCAGCACTCAGAGCTGCGGTCTATCCATCGAGTTTGAAGAAGAAGACATGTGTATTATTTATTGTTTGTTTTGGTCTAGATACGGTATGGCTATTTACAGTGCTGTCCTGACTCAGTGGGATACCCTATCAAACCTCGGACAAGAAGATGACTTCATGCTCAATCTTATGAAGAAAGTTCTCCAGATTGATTTCAAGGTAACTTACTGGTTTACCATGGATTGGAAAATAAACAGACTATATATTCAAAAATGGCTGGCTTATGCAGTATTAGAGGTGTAGTGGTCCAGTGTATAAGCCTCGTGACCGTGAACCACTAGGTACATGATGTGATTTCCTGTTACAGCACTAATGTCCTTTGGCGAGACCTTGATCTACATTTGCCACACTCCACCCAGTTGAGGTAAATGGATACCCTGCAGGAATTAAATCCTCAAAATGCTTAAACGCTGTAATGGCAGTAATGCTAAGGCCAGGGTAATAATAATGGAGCGCCAGGAGTGGCAATGTGCCAGACATGAGCGTTATACAAGATTCCACCATTGCTGTTATTATTTTTGTTAATCTTGACACAGTTTGCCACAGACCCGACCCACTCTCTATTCCGTTAAGTTTTCAACCAGTAACTGAGCATGCTTAATTATAGACTTCAAGATGTCTCCTGCTTGAAAGACCTTCGCCGTATTCAAAAGAGATCATCACAATCTCCATGCCATTATCCTCCAGAAAAATGTCTGTACTTGAAATTATTTGCTTATGCTTGTTGCTCTTCACCTACATGTAGTTTTCCACAGACCCGACCCACCCTACATTCTGTCTAGTTTTCAACCAGTACCTAAGCATGCCTAGAGACTTCATGATGTCTCTATCTTGAAAGACCTTCGCCATATACAAAAGAGATCATGGCAATTTCCATGCCATTGTCCTCCAGAAAAATGTCTGTACTTGAAATTATTTGCTTATTCTTGTTGCCCTTCACCCAGTTTGCCACAGACCCAACCCACCCTACATTCCGTCCAGTCTTCAACCAGTACCTGAGCATGCTAAGAGACTCCAAGAAGTCCCTTGCCTGGAAGACTCAAGTTCTTGACGTCCTCTACTTCTTTGCCAATGTACCAGAGAAAGAAGAGAAGGAACTCAAGTAAGAAAGCTTAGTTTCAATTAAAGGGATCCGGTAACTTTGTCTTAGATCCTTGATTTAGCTCATGTTGCAATGATCAATTATAAACCTTTAGGTCAGTCAGGAACCCCATGACTTTTACAAGCCGATCGCCTGTCTGATTATCAAGATATTTATGATTGAAAATCTAAACCAAATTTTGCCCTTGCCAAATGGTTTTCATAACACTACAATAAAAAATTTTGAGGCACTTCTTGATCATTTTGAAGCGCAACTTTTTGGGGGCTTCAATATAACACCATATCACAGACACTGATTAAACGATCCTTTTAAATTTAATGTACACATGTATTTCCAACAAGCAATAAGAACACATGATGTAGAAACTCATTACACTTCACTTTCCAAAGAATGAGCATAAAAACATGCAAATACGTAATGAAAGGTAACATATTATATCAACAGTCGTATTGTTTGAATTGGGGACAGTTGGGGAAGACCAAGTCTTACATAAAGAACCTGTCCCGAGAAGAATATTGCGTAAGATTGAATTGAAATACTATGATTAAGAACGAGTTATTGCAATATGTGCTTATTTTGGTGTACATACAGACAGCAATATAATGAGCAATCATGTGGATAGAATAGACAAGAAAAATAGAGGTAGAATATTTCTTGCCGACATCTGTCTTTACATTGGATGAATGCCTTTCTAGATTTGAACAGTCATTATGTGTGATCCTTGATCAGCAAAACTTTGTGTAGGAAAGCATCATTCATGTACAGTGCCACTGCTATAATACTACTACTACTGATAATAGTGGGTTCTTTTATAGCGCTCATGTCTGTTATACGTGACACTCCTGGCGCTCCCAATTATTATCTCTAAAATCGAACATGGAATTTTTTTAAATATCCTGTCCCATTGTTGCATTTTTTATGTGTGATTCAGATCTGCTCTGGACCTTCTTGTTGCGAACCACTTTCCCCTCAAGTCTACAGACCTTGAGGCAGGAAGCCCTCGCTATAATGACTATATCATGGCACTCAACAAGGTAAAATAGAATATTTGTGCATTATCTGCAATGCAGATTTTTACAATGGACTATTTTATACATTCTGCATTGTTTTAGAGGTTTTCACATTGTTCGTTAGGACATGGTGGGAGAGAGACGATGGGCAGATAAATAAAAAGAAAATTATTAAAGAAAGAGAGATGCAGACAGACCGAGACAGACAGCAAAGAAAGCTTTAAAGGCACACTGCACTACTTGTAGCTACAATGCCTAATCGGTGACCATTGGTCCCCCATGATCCTCTTTTTCTTATGTTAACTGAGAGCTGAGTTGATGAGATAGCCATCTGTCCAGTGACCTTGCAGGGCGCTCTAATCCCTCCTGTAAACTACGGCAGATAAGCTTTAAAGGGAGAATAGGGAGAAAGAGATAGGGAGGGTGAGAGAAGCAAGGAGATGGAGAGAAGAGAGAGAGAAAGAAAAGGGAGAATGTAAGGAGTGGATAATGATACTGGGATTCCACAGGTCAGATCTTGTTGCTAGCAAATGATACACAACATAAATGCTCAGAATTCATAGTCAACATTTCACATGTAGATGTCCTCACAAAGCCTGTATGCACTCTCTCTAGTAGGGATAACCTCAGTCTAGCCAGTGACTTGAGACATGTATGTGACATTCGCAATGCTTTTGGTTGCTTTTTGTCAAGATTCTAACCTCCCTGGTGATGAGTGGAAGCCTGATGCTACTTGAACTCATCATCAGCATCCTCTGCAGAGATGACAAACACAGCTATGAAGACAAGATACAGGGCGCCCTCTCCTCGTTCGCCAAACGGTGAGTCACTCAGCCTCGTTCGCCAAACGGTGAGTCACTCGGTCAAGTTCGCCAAAGGGTGAGTCACTCAGTCAAGTTCGCCAAACGGTGAGTCACTCAGTCAAGTTCGCCAAACGGTGAGTCACTCAGTCAAGTTCGCCAAAGGGTGAGTCACTCAGTCAAGTTCGCCAAACGATGAGTCACTCAGCCTCGTTCGCCAAACAGTGAGTCACTCAGTCAAGTTCGCCAAAGGGTGAGTCACTCAGTCAAGTTCGCCAAATGGTGAGTCACTCAGTCAAGTTCGACAAACGGTGAGTCACTCGGTCTCGTTCGCCACACGGTGAGTCACTCACTTTTGTTCGGCAAACGATGAGTCACTCAGTCAAGTTCGCCAAACGGTGAGTCACTCAGTCTCGTTTCCCAAATGGTGAGTCACTCAATCTCATTTGCCATACGGTGAGTCACTCAGTCTCGTTCATCGGTTCTGATTGTGAACCTCTTCCATTCTGTGGGCAGCAAATCCTGTCGAAAAATATATGTGTGTTGGATAATTTTTTTTAACCAAATTGTTTGTTTTTGACCTTGTGAAATTTATTTAGTTAATTGATATCAATTGGCAGCCTTCCTTCTGAGAAGCAGTCTGCAGCTGCCAACATCCCTTTTGAGATCTTCAAGCAAGACAAGCGGTACTCCAAGGAGATCCGTAAAGCGGCCATTCAACGAGTCTGCATCCCTCTCCTCAGGCAAGCCTCGCGTGATGCAACGGTGACCTTCTATAAAGGTCATATCCATGACATCATCTCCGTCCTGGAGGCTAGACTCACCAAGGTAATCACCTTGAGAAGATAATCAGGAATCCTTTTCATAACATGTATTATGTTAGATACATAAAATAGTATGTAGCTTGAGTTGTACCTGTATTCAATCATTCATATATATATATATATATATATATATATATATATATATATACACAAATTGTTAAAAGTTAAGATACTGTACTGGAAAGGTACCAGACATGATTAGCATTTTATGCTACTTTCTGGTCCCTATTATTCATTCGAGATTATTGTCAAACATACATTTATTATTATTATTATTGTTGTTATATTACTGTATATATCAATGTTTGGATAATAAAACCTCAACTCAACACAACTCTACTGAACACATCCAAAGTGTTCACCTGTAATAACTTCAATATCAGAGGCTCAGACACCTTCCTCCCATGTGTACAGGCAGACTGAAGTTAGCTTCCAGTTATTTTATCTTTTTGGATTGCCAGCAGATGCTGCTTTGGCCACTGCTGTGTTGTGAATGTCAGATATCTGGTATGCGCTTCCATCTTAAAATTGAAACACTGGCAGCTAACTTAGATTGCCAGTATACATGTACGTTTAAAAAGGCAATATCTGTTCTTGTAATAGAACTTATGAGCATAATCCTATCATGATTGTAAAGACTTTCAAAAAATCATTGTGAAGCAATTTTTTACGATTGTCCATCGCCATTTGAAGAGTGAAAACATCCCACTGACATATTTTGTATTCTGAACATAATTTCTATGGGATAATCTAGTGAAATTGTCCTTTAGTTTATATCTCAAAAGCCTTTGTGATAGTGTTCATTGTGCTTTAAAAAAATTAGAATAAAAAGTAGATATTGATGTTGTTCACATCTTTCAGAACCCTGTGCCAGCCTTTGAGAACCAACTGGTGTCTAAGATCTGTTACTTTGAGCTGATTGAAGTACTTTACTCTAGGCTGAGTAAAGATGATCTCAACAGTAAGGACTCTGCTCTCAATCGAGAATATCGCCATGGTAACGTTGAAAAAGGCAATGAGATGTCAACTGCATTGACCAAGTGAGTGATAGCCCATGTTATCCTAATTAAGCCTGAGTCATTAGGGGGTTGCTTAACTACCAACTTTATACGGGTGATTTCGTTTAACTGTTATGAAAATACCCATATTTGTACTGTATTGTACATTATTTAAATTCTCAAGTATTTAGTCATTTCGATGAAGACATGTCATGTAGTTGTGTTCATTAAAAGAGGCTTAAAACAGTACTCTAAAAACATGTACACACACACACACACACTCAAAAACGATCTGATATGATTTTAAAATAATGGGGAAAATGAACATCTCAGAACTCTAAACTTTTGCCAACAAATCTTGCGCTCGATGATCAGTACAGTCACAAATACCAAATACTAGATACACAGTACCACCTAGTAAACAAAGTACGTCCATGCATGCCATGCCACGATTAGCTAGCTTGCACCTCGTCGATCGACACAGCGCTATGAATGATTCACAGATTCATGTTGCGCCTTCGTACAATATGAATAGCTGACGTGAACTCCTGGGATCTCGTAACACGCTGCGAAATGCATGATGCATGAGGTAAGCAACCAGGTGGACATATGGCATAAGTCCTGTCTGAGGGACTTGCTAATGAAGATTAATGTCTTATCAAAGGACCAACAGGCTTTTCCTGATCACCTTTCTACCACTGAGGCTGAGCCTTCAATTCTTTCATTATTAAGAAGAAGAAGCTTACAGTTAATGAGTTGAACAATTGATTTTTGTGTATCCTTTGCCTAATAAATTACCTCTTAGCTTTTTGCCTACCGATACTTCAATATTTTTGTCTTTGTTTGACTTTGTAAGGGCTGCACTTGGAGCTCGCAATGAGGATTGCCGTGGGGAGACAGTTGCAGTGGAGCTGAGACGTCAGTTTCACTGCGCCGCCTTCAACTGCTCTGCTGCCATCATCAGTTGCGTTCAGGATAACATCAAGTTCTACAATGCTTTCCTCTTCAGTGAGAACCATGCAAAGGTAGGCAGTACTAGGGTATCAGGGGAGTGTTACACAAAGACTAAGATTGACTTTAAGTTGGACTTGAACTATGGCAGGCGTTCATGCCACAAGTTCCTCTAACCATTTCTGGCATTGATTTCTCAAGGGTCGTATAAATCATGGTCTCAAATCTACAGAATTTACCTTTTTTTAATAGTTCATTATTGAAGGAAAAAATGTTATCTAAAGATCATAATTCAGAGACCAATGATGGGAGCAACCAGTGGCATGTATGGCCTTCCATAGTTAAATCCAACTTAAAGTTGATCTTAGTCTTTGCAAAACACTGTGGGCTTTAAATCCTGACAAGAATTTGAATTCTATACAATGTATTTGGTTCTTTCTTTTGATTCTCAGTCCAAGGGTTGAGTGTTCATATCCCAGCCCAGCACTAACATTCATTGATGAGACATTAATCCACATTTGCCACTCTCCACCCAGGTGTGAATAGGTATCTGGCAATTGTTCGGGTAAAAATAATTGCAGGGCCCTCCAAAAGAACAGCATTTAAACTGATGAGGCTTCCATGGATAAACAAAATTATTATTATTATGACTACTAATATATTGACTATTTTTCTCTTTTTTTAATAGTAATGGTTTAATCACTCTCCAGTAGGGGATATTTTTACCCAACTTGAAAATCAATCAAATTGTTTAAACTCAATATTTTATAGATTTTTATGACGTCACAGCTTCGGTACTCTATTGTGATATTTATTTGTAGATATTGTTACTACATAGAGGGTGAAAGATTGCTTGAATTTTGTTGTTGTTTGTTAGTAATTCCTTGTTGTAGTGCTGTATTTAAATTATGAGCTTCAAGTATCACTTCTATGAAGAGATTTTGTAACTTTAAATACACTCTAGGGCCCGCATGGAACCCAAGTCCCACTTTGGTTTCGTGTGCTGGGTTTTATATGTCGTTCTTTATTGTCTTCATACTCCTTATCTGTTACCCCATTGAATTTTTCAAGGTTGATTTTATATATTGTAGCTGTGATTAGTACACTTTCAGATTTGCTGATGTGAGTGTAAGGGATATATATGATAAAACCAAGATAGTGTCATTATTAAAGAGTATTTTCTTAATATGCTCATTTACAGGAGCAGATGGAAAAATGAGTTTTTAGGCAGTAGAGACAACACAGCCATCAATTATCATAAATATTGGATCACATTAGTTTGTTATAAGGAATTTTAGATGTCTTTTGGTGTTTTTTTTTGGTAGGCAAAGACAATATTGGTATAAATTAATGAGAGATGGAAAGAATTTCACAATAAGTCGACCTTTGTAAAAAAAGTATTGTTGATGTACACATTTTGATCAATTTGTATTTTTATGTTTTGTGATCAGGGTCAATTTCTGCTGGACAACCTGGTGGACCCCAAGAAGGAGTACGGCTTTGCCATCGAGATGGATGCACCAGTGGAACGCAAGAAGAGGTTTGTGGCCATCCGCACCCAAGCGAGGGAGACAAACACACCCGAAGAATCTGGATATGTATCAGGTTTGTTGATGATTTCATGTAGTAGTAGAAGTAGAACTGGTAGATTGGAGCAGTTAATGAAATCAAAGTATGAAGTTGTCAGGCATGTCGTGAATGATTTACAGCAAATTACTATTGTAGGGAATGAATGAATTGTCTATGACTTCTTTGTACTCCCACAAAAAAGGAAGAGTTCCCTGAAGTGAAAGGCACCAATAGCAGTAATAAATTAGTCAAATGTTTGATGTTTTTTTAGATCTAAATTTTATTCTGATTACCCCAGTCAGATTTTTTGTCAAGGTTCCATAAAGTGATTAGCAGATTTAAGCAAGATGGTATGGCATAGCATGATCTTTACAGTATACTCCCTTTCTGTATTTGATGTTTTGTCTGCAAAGAAGGGATTAGTTTGTATTACCTCCTGATGCCCTTGAGCAGTGCATTTTATGAACATTGCTTCTCTCTAACCAGGTGCTAAATGGGTGCCCGGTAGAATACAAACCGCAATTGGATTAGCATTATGTGTGTGCTCATAGAAAGGCGATTAGCTGGAATGCTCCACAGGGAGTGGAAAATGTGCACTGTGATGTGCAGATTCTGCAGAATAGTAATTAAATCCAGTGACCGGGGTTATCAGGGCTCGAATTTAGCGGTGGCCCGGTGCCAATGGCCACCTGAAACGCTGTCGGGCCACCTGAAATCACCGACTAGATGGCCCGACTGGCCACCCAAATATTTGGACAGTAATATATAAATTATTTATCAACAACTTGTTTAACCTTTAGATCTACCCGAAACCGAGGCGACATTTATTTTTCCAAGCTTTTCCAAGCGACGCAATCGGATCTATCAAACAAGGAAATGTTTCGTTTCGCATACTAACTTTATAAAAACGATGCACGCCGTCGCGTAGGTACTGTACACACCGCCGCCGCCACCCCGGCCTGGCCGGTACATAGGCGTAGCGCTATCATAGTATGCTACCGCGTATAGGGCATGCAGCTGTCGATATCCGCATTGCAGCACAGCTAGTACGTTTCTCAACTCTTTGTTGCGCAGTTACAAACTGCGCATGAGATTTCGGGCGGGTAGCGAATCCCAGCATTGTGATTGGTGTACTGACACTAAAAATCGTGTGCATGCAGCGGCGGGAGTTAGACTAAGTTGCTGTTCTAATAATGCGACGGAAAAGACAGTTACTGCTTTCAAAACAATAAAATAATCAATGGAATTAAATTAAGATGCTTTAAAAAATAAATGGATATCGTTTCAGTTGACGGTAGGTGTTTTTATCGCTCTAAAATTGAGGCTGCAAGAAAGGAATCACGCTTCGTGGTACCGATCGGGTGCGTTCAGAAACGGAAGTGGAAATAGATCTATGACCCACTGAAGACATAGCAAGAAAATGCCAAACACAAGACTAAAATGTTGATCAGACTATTGCAATTAAATCGTAATACTAAAGGCATTAATTTAATTGTCAAAATATATCCACAACATAATGGTTTACCCTTGATAGTTTGATGAAGGAAAATAAATTAAAGCTCTTGAAATAACATCGAAGTGCCTTTCGTTCGTTCTAAAAATGCGTGTATAACGGCAAGCAGAAGTTACGAGTCAAGCTTGATATGCACGTTTACATCCCTACACCGTCATCCGACCTGATCGGAACAATAAGCATTAAACCAATTAAAAAACATCACGGAAGACTTTAAGGGACTCCAATTCAACAAAATTACCGTAAAATAATTATTTGCTTTGACAAATATACTATAGATATTCATAATATCTTACAGAAATAATGATATTTCATGAGCTATGTACTCGATATCGAGTTCAGCTAGCCATCATTTTGAAATGAGACGTAGTTGTCATGCAGTAGACTGTAGAGGGCAGTATGCAGAAGAGAGAGGAAAAAGCGCGGGCCTGAGATCACGTGATATTCACGTGACTATTACGTGATTTTTTTTCCCTCTCTAGCTGCGAGCTGCCGCATTCTGCGCTGCATACATGACAACTACGTCTCATTTCAAAATGATGGCTAGCTGAACTCGATATCGAGAACGTAGCTCATGAAATACAGAGCTGCCAACTAGTACGGATTTTCCGTAATTGGTACGGAAATCAACGGCAATTACGGAAGCACGGAAACCCCTTCAAAAATTACGGATTCCCCGATTTCTGGACATGCCTATGTATTAACACATGCATTATGCATATGCGAGTGTTTTAGCGGTAATGATCGCGATACTTCCCGGGCCTCGGCCCGGTGGTTAACTTTTGAGCGCACGGAAATATCATCCGCGCCTCAGCCACGACCACTGCACACACATGTAGCTACCATCGAAAGATATGCACACCGCCCTGCCTATATGGGCTGCGTGTGCTAGCTTTCAGCATGCAATATATATCGGGGAGACGGCAAACTCGTCCCAAGTCCATTTAGCCACCTTGCAAACCAACCCGTACGGTACCATGTCCATGTGTAGTTTATAGCAGGTCTACAATTTTTTTCCCCTTAGTGATGGGTTCTCATCGTTATGATAATAAAAGTACGACTCGACTAATGATGAAGATGATGATGATGATGATGATGATGATGATAATTGTCATAAGGAAAATGAATGTACTTCCTTGATTAAACTTGAATTTATATTCAACAATTATTGTCATTGTGTTTTATTTCACATTATTTGTTGGATCATGTTTATTCATTTCATTTTATTCATATACCCCTTTTCATTGTTGATAACAAAATATGATACACGAATAAATTTTGAATGAGCTGACACACAAAGTTTTGACCGATACGAAAGCGCATGCATGGTGGATGTGCTGAAACAAGTGGCACGATATTTATCTGGGCGAAATATGCATTGGCCGAGTGTTACACTACCGCATGTGCAGCAGGTCGGCCGTGGTCGCGTCAAACTTCGAGTAACCGACGGAGAAAAATGACTTCAACTTCATCGAAGAAGCGTTCTAAAAAACTGCAAACCTTCTCAGGTGATTACACCAAGAAATGGTCATGCATTGTTCCGTCGAAAAGGAATACAAACAGTGCCTGTTGTACACATTGCTCATCCGATTTTGGAATTGGTCATGGCTGTTCGAACGATATCCAGGTACATCTGAAGTCGGTGAAGCACCGGACTGCAGCGGCGGAGGCAAGTTCCAATTCCCGCAGTCATGACATCGCCCAGTTTTTCGTCGCAAAGGACAATTCTGTCACGAACGCCGAAGTGAAGTTTACTCAATTTTTGATAGAGCACAACATCGCGTTTTCAGCAGCAGACCACCTTTCACAACTTGTCAAAAATGCCTTCCATGACAGTAAAATTGCAAGTAAATACGCGTGCCGTCGCTCCAAGGCTACAGCAATCGCAAGAACTTTGGGACAGGAAACAAAAGGTAAATAAATATTGAAAATTGCATTTTAGATTTAAAGGGAATCTACTGTCGTGGGAAAAGTGACAAAAGTTATTGTGAGCTTCCAGATTAATATCATGGCATGCTATTTAGGAAGAATATTATAATAAAAAGGCCCACTGTCAATGATTGCTCTTAAAGATGAAGTTGAGTTCTGGTCATGCGATCGCATTGTGAAAGAAACGGTGTGGAACCGACCAGAAAAGGTTGATCATATAGCATATAAGAATTTGTGTGTATTGCAAGGTTCTGGAATCATCAAAATGATAAGAAATTTGGCCAAGTCTTGGTAAAGTTACAAACACTGTACACAGAAAGATGTATATGGGACTACACGAACACGTGGCGTAAAAAGCCGGCCCCCCGATTTTTACGATGTTACATGCATATTTAGAATATGAAGGCATTTGAAGAGCCATGCTTTTCAGGAAACATGTCTTATCTGATGTTCTTCCACACTTGCATAATAAGAATGAGTAATGCTCACAAATTATTTTTCACCTCTTCCCAGAACTCAACCTTCTCTTTAAATTGTTCTCATACATGTACATGTAGTCGTAATAATAATGACAATAAACAGCTGAAATGTGCGGGCCGCACAGTTGAATGTAGTCCCATACATGCATTTCTGTGTGCAGTGCATGTGACTCTCATCATAATTGAGTTAATTTCTTATTATTTTGGTCATTCCAAAACCTTATAGCATACAACAATTCTTAGTTGAAGTGTAATCAACCTTTCCCAATCACTCAGAGAGTTTCTTCCACAATTAAATTTCACGACCACGACAGTAATTTCCCTTTAAATTGAACATGTGAAGTACATAATGGGAATGAAAGCCAGGGCTCCGTCTCAAAAAGAAATAACAATTATTAACCTAAAAAAATTATTGTGTGTAGATTAGTTGTAGTCTGTAGAATTTGAAGTTAGATTAAAAGTAAAGACACTATGATTATCACAATTGTTGTGTTATTGTTAAATAAATGCTCAGGTCAGAATAACATAATTTTATATTGCTTGCTTACTTAATGGTTGTGTGTATCCCTTCTCGCCATGCCCATTGTAAGCATTTAATAAAAAATTATAAGAAATAAAATTCAAATTTACACAACAATGTCCCCTTTGACTTTTTTTGGTGCAGTCAATTATCAAGATTTAGATCATGTCGCTACAGTACAGGTGTTGATATATGTACTATGTTTGCCAATTGTGCCGATAGGCTTTAACTGTGCACAATATCCCCCCCCCCCCCCCCCACTAAACGCAAGTGGTATGCATCTGTTCTCAATGGGAAATGCACATGTATATTAAATTAAAAAAAAAAAATTTGTTCTGTCATAAAAACCAATGATCAATATAATTAAGTTTTTATCTGTTAATTCCTCACTTCTGTAAGGGAGACCTTGCCCTGTGCATGTTGAACACGTTATAATGCTTAGTAAAAACAGATATCTAATGCATGAACTAGGGAATGTGAATATGCTTATCCACATTTATCAACAAATTTTATCTGACCTGATGGTCATAATGTACATGTTTTCCCTTTTTACATTGCAGGGGACATCATCCGCAAGATACGTGAGAAGCCCTTCTCAATTTCGACAGATGGGAGCTCCGATAGGGGGGCAGATGAGCAACTCTACCCCATACTTGTAAGATACTTCGATGATGATGCACAACATGTTGTGACCGTTCTCTTAGAAATAGCGACAACAAAGGGGAGTTCCACAGGGAAAAATATCTTCCAACTTCTTGATCAAGCACTCACAGAGAACAAAATTCCATGGAAAAATGTTACATGTTTTTCTGCTGACAACGCGGCTGTAATGATGGGAGTGCACAACGGGGTTGCTGCTTTTGTGAGAGAGAAGAATCCTGAAGTGTATGTTAATGGCTGCGTATGTCATTTGCTTCACCTAGCAGCTGAGAAAGGGGCCCAGCAACTTCCATCAAGTCCAGTTGATCTCCTGATACCAATCTTCTACTACCTAGAGAAATCTAGCAAGAGGCACAAGGCATTCCATGAAGTGCAGTCATGCTGTGATGTCAAGCAACATGCAATTCTTAAGCATGTGTGTACCAGGTGGTTGTCCTTGGAGCAGGCCTTGAACAGACTTATTGAACAATGGGTTCCTCTGGTTGAGTTCTTCCGGAGTGAATCTGAAACTTCATCATCTTCTGCGCAAAAGAAGAAGAGTGTCCAGTCGAAGACTACAGCTAAAAGGTTCAACCACAACCCCAACCCCAGAAAAAGAACACTGGAAATGCCAAAGTTTCTGTGACCAGTTCTAAGCCTGTGTCTGGAAAGGCAAGCACAAGTTCTGAATCATCATCTGGAACAAAGAGAAAGATTGAAGACTCACATCAGAATAGAGGGAAACGGCTAAAACCTTCTAGTAGCCATCAAGTCCATCAACCATCCCAGAAGAAGAGCTCTGGCTATATAATTCCCCATATTGCCAAAACTTCAAGCTCAAAGCCTGCATTGGGAAAATCAAGCACAACTCCTGCATCTGTGTCAAAGGCATCAACGAGTAAAAGTTCCCCTGTGGTCACAAAAACTTTGTCTTCTCATGGTACAGCTCCAAGTACATCTGCATTTCCCTCTACTTCTTCTATTGGGAAGAAAGCCAGTGATGTGACCAAAAAAGACCTCCCTAAAGGAACCAAAGTTGGATCAGGAAAGGTGAAAATGCCACCCCCAAGATCAAGTTGGGCTCCATCATCACAGAAGACAGGTCAGGTGTTTGCAGGCACAGAGCATGCTGTGAGCAAGACCTCCCAAGAAGTCCCAGCAACGTCTAAGGCAGCTGCTATCTATGACAAACTGACAAATGATGAGAATTTCTCCAGCACAACATTCCTTTGTTCACTGTACTGAATTTAGAGCTCCAAGAAGAATCACCCAAGATTCATGTTCTACTTGATAGACTTCAGGCCTTTCTTCAAAATGTTTTGACAAGATTTGTTAAGCCTAAAGTGCTGATGGCATCGTCTCAAGAGTGTGACTACAAAACAAATGACAATCAGCGTGAAGACAACGACTTGGTGATTGGTTCTAAAGTGAGAGAGTTGCTTCAAAGCGGAAACTTCAGTGATGGCCAGAAGAGGAAGTTCTTCTCATCCGTGAGACAGTACTATATATCAGTCTGCAACTATGTTCTGAGCAAATTTCCGTTGAAGGATCCACTTCTCATGCATGCTAGAGTGGCCAATCTTGAAAGGCGACAGGAAACGCCCTTTGTGTCAGTGGAGTATTTTGTTCGGAGATTCCACTTCATGGAAGATGATATTGACACACTTGAACTGGAATATGCCTCCTACCAGAGTGATCCTTCCGTGGACAAGATTGATGCTTCAAAAGCAGACTTGGCATGGGTGGCAGTATCTCAGCTCAAAGATCCCACCAGTGGGCAGTTTTGCTATGCTCATCTAGTGCAAGTCATGATGCTGATTCTTTCGATATCACACAGTAATGCTTCAGATGAGAGGCTGTTCAGCTTGGTGAGGAAGAACAAGACCGAGTTTAGGGCCAGTTTGAGTACTGCAACATTGAGTGATGTTCTCACTCAGAAGGCAACATGCCAGTCCAAAGGACAAAACTGTCATGACATGAAATTCAGCGATCAACTGCTAACCAAATGTAAGGGAGCTGCAATGGCTTTCTGCAAACAGTGATAAACTATTATAACCAAATGTAAGGGAGCTGCAATGTGTTTCTGCAAACAAGCAAGCTACAGTGTGACTGGACATTTATGATTTGCACATATTATTACATGCAATTCAGTGATAAACTCTTAACCAAATGTAAGGGAGCTGCAATGTGTTTCTGCAATGTGTTTCTGCAAACAAGCAAGCTACAGTGTGACTGGACATTTATGATTTGCACATATTATGACATGCAATTCAGTGATAAACTCTTAACCAAATGTAAGGGAGCTGCATTGTGTTTCTGCAAACAGTGAGAAAGCAAGCAAGCAAGCATACAGTGTGACTGGACAGTTATGTTACTTAGGTAAGAGTTGTTCCATTATGTTTGTAGAGCCTCTATGTTAATTGTAAAAACCTGAAGTGAATATACACACGTAAGTGAAACAGGGTAATGATACATCAATCCTCTAATAACCATTGTTTTTTTTATAGCACTTAAAATGATGTTATAAACAGAATGTTCTTGTTTTTACTTCAAGTCCTGTCATTCAGAGTGATGCTATTACCATGGTACTAGTAGTTTGTGTTGTGGTGTTGTGTGCAGCTCTACAATGTACGTGCAAATGCAGTCTTCTTGATGTTGAAAGCGCCGCGCTTGAAATTACTGATTTCCATCCAAAATTACTGATTTTTAGCTTTCAGATTACTGATTTTGGTTTCAGAGGTTGGCAGCTCTGGAAATATCATTATTTCTGTAAGATATTATGAATATCTATAGTATTATTTGTCAAAGCAAATAATTATTTTACGGTAATTTTGTTGAATTGGAGTCCCTTAAAGTCTTACGTGATGTTTTTTAATTGGTTTAATGCTTATTAATTGTTCCGATCAGGTCGGATGACGGTGTAGGGATGTAAACGTGCATATCAAGCTTGACTCGTAACTTCTGCTTGCCGTTATACACGCATTTTTTAGAACGAACGAAAGGCACTTCGATGTTATTTCAAGAGCTCTAATTTATTTTCCTTCATCAAACTATCAAGGGTAAACCATTATGTTGTGGATATATTTTGACAATTAAATTAATGCCTTTAGTATTACGATTTAATTGCAATAGTCTGATCAATATTTTAGTCTTGTGTGTGGCATTTTCTTGCTCTGTCTTCAGTGGGTCATAGATCTATATTTCCACTTCCGTTTCTGAACGCACTCGATCGGTACCACGAAGCGTGATTCCTTTCTTGCAGCCTCAATTTTAGAGCGATAAAAACACCTACCGTCAACTGAAACAATATCCATTTATTTCTAAAGCATATTTATTTGATTATATTGAAATATAAGTTTGTGAATTCCATATTTTTAATTCTATATTTCAAAATATCAGTGTGAAATTTAATTTTGAAAAACCCGAAACCCGAAAACCAAAAACCGGGTTTCAGCTCGACGGGACGGGTCGGGGCCCGGGCGGGGACCCGTTTCGACTCGGGCCTAAAGTAAATATACAATCAATTTTATATCTTCCAACAGAACTTGGAGCTCAAAGAAAAGCAGAAGTTTGGCGCCTTGTGTGCCCTGTACAATCCTAACTTAAGGGGGAGGGGGTCCTTGTGATGCATGATAGTCAAGGAGAAAGGGAGAAAAACATTGAAGTGAAGTTGAGACAGAAGTATAGAAACAAAGAGAGAGGATTTGGAATGAGAGTTTAAAGAGTCACTCACCTTTCATTATTAAATGCAGCTCATGCTGCTTTTAACACGTATAATTTATGCATTTTTTTATTAAACATTTGCATTATTTAATAACACATAAAAGTGGGGCCACCTGAAAATCCATTTGGCCACCCAGATCTCCTACCCAAGTGGCCCTGCTGGCCACCTCAAAAAAAAGTTAAGGGCAAGCCCTGGTTATAGTGATACTGTAAGTACTTTAGTCTGTTGTAACTGGTAAAGCTCTTTATAAGAAACAGTTGGTATTATTACCGTAAAGCTTATGACAGACAAGGAAATCCAGAAGAATACTTCAATGCTGGTACATGGTGTTTTACCTGAGATGATTTTGTGTTTGTGTTGAATTTGTTAGGCCCAGCCCACTACCTATCGTCTCAGTATCTATCTGACAGTAGCCTGAGTGAAGATGTAAATCAGTTTGACTTCTCCAGCAGTGTGAGACATTTTGGTAGCTCCATGGAGAGTCAGAGAGATGGGGGTAGCCAGGGAAGCCAGGGCAGCCAGCGACCAGGATCAATGGCTAGCAGACAGGTGAGAGATATCAGAAAGAATTAAAAATGGTGATTCCTGAAAGATGTTGGTTAATGAACAAAAAAACTGAATAAATATGGCAGTAGAGATATGGCAGTAGGGATTTTGCAGTTATGTATTGGAGATTTTTAATAACACAACATTAGGCTATTGATAGATAATAATAATAGATCCGGATTAATACAAAATACCTTTTTTAAGCTCTTTACAGATTTTATTAAGGATGCCTTACCGCATGAGATAGTTGAACGATACCAGAAAATATGATAGAAGGAACAGTGGATAAAAGAAAGAAGGAGAAGGAAATAGAGTGTAAAATGAATCAAAAGGACTATGAATATGATTGCAAATACAGCGAAAGTAGTATGGAAAAGGGTTCATTGACAAATATATAAGATGAAGTAGTTATGATTCATTCTATTTCCTTCATAAACATTAGATATATATTAATGTCTGCCACATGTTATCTGCAATTTTATAGGACTCTAAGCCAGTCTTCTCTCCCGGTGGCGAGTACTTGGAGATGGAGGAGGATGCGTTGAATCAGCATGAATGCATGGCAGCTATGACAGGCGTGCTCAAACACATGACAAACAACAAGATTAATCCTGACATTACCAAGGTAAGGGTCTCATGAGGGGGAGGGGGAGGGGGGAATCAGCATGAATGTATGGCAGCTATGACAGGTGTGCTCAAACACATGACCAACAACAAGATTAATCCTGACATTACCAAGGTAAGGGTCTCATGAGGGGGGGGGGGGATCTTTAGTAAATATGTACAAAAATGAATTAGACTGATCACTCCTCTTCTTTCATGAAATCATTCTTTGCATCGTCTTGGCTCATAAAATATTTAAATATGAAATTCAATATTTCATTAATTTTAGAAAGGTTTATAAGTACAACTGTAACTGAAATGGGAAAAAACCTCATATCTGTTAATATGTCATATCATTAATTTGTAGACTTTTTATTGAAATGTCTGTCTAGAAATGTCATACCATTAGCTTGGAATTGACCTTGTGACAATTCTGCATCATGTACAGTAAAGTGACTATTTATGTGTTTTTTTAATCTCCTAGGCAACCAAAGCAGAAGAGATGCCTCAATGGATGTCTGGTCTTCAGAAGAAGCTCTCATCACAATCTACGGAACATAACATCAAACTCTTCATCGTCAGACTGGTCATCAATGCACAAGATGTAAGAAGCAAACCAGGGTCCCGTTTCACAAAACTTGTCATCAGTGACAATGACAGTTGTTGTTATAAGCTATTGAAATCCTTGCTTCTGATTAGTTGTTGCTAGATTTGTCACTGATTTTTGTCATTTGTCATTGAAAAAAGGCTTTGTGAAACGGGTCCCAGGCCTTTGGGATAGCTTTAGGAATGTTCTTTTTAATTACCAAAGATTATCACTATATGTTGTTTTAAGCCAGAAAAGTATGCAGTATTTAACTTTCATGAATTTATAGACAACAGCTATTTTCAAAGCTAGAAACTGTTATGAATCGCCAAAAAAAAAGTGCCTTGTCAGATGTGATTGAATTAAGTTGCAGCATGAAACTTTGCAAGTCTAAACCACATGCAAGTTTGCAAATATTCTGGTGTAACAGTACTATTTGATGTATCATTTGTTGAGAGCCAGTAGGATGTTTACTCTGTTTAAGGATTTGAAACGATGCCTTTCTGCATCTTGGCAGATGAATGTACGTTCTAATGCCAAACAGGATTCACAGACATCTGCTCTACTGCCTTGCCATAGAAGAGATTTTTGCACATTAATTCCACTCATTTGCTCTGTACTTTAAAAAAAGTCAGAATTTTTTATTTTCCCTCTCGAAAATTTTCAATCATACATGCATCCTAGATAAATAATTCTTCACTTTCATTTTGATGACAATTAAGGTATGACTACCTCAGGTTCTGCACATCATGCATGTGAATGACTTTTGTTTGTTCACCATCTTCTCCTGTGTCCCATTCTTTCATTTGTTTTGTTTCCACTTGAAAGGTGTTCCAGCCGTACGCCAGGTTTTGGCTGTCTCCATTGATGCAGTTCTTGGCCGGAGGTCAGCAAGGTGGGATCAATTACATGGTACTGGACATCATGCTGGTCATGTTAGACTGGTCCACTCTAGCTGTTCCAGAGGTAAAGCTCTCTTAAAGTGACTTGGTAACATTGTTGAAGGTTGATGAAAAAATTGCTTAATTTTTGTATAAAATGTTACTTACTATATTCCTTCTACTGTACTAACCCTCTGACATGCAAAAAATTCTCAAACCACGAAGATATCTATGGTTTTCTTTGAAGGAGTCGATGTATGACATCCTCTAACAGTGATTAACAGTAAATTCTCCCAACCATTTTTGAATTTCCCAACCATTTTTCCATGAAAAAAAGACATAAAACAGGCTATAAAAAATCTGTCAACACTTAAATGTCTGGAATGGAATGTAGAGCCATTTTATTGCTTTGTGACGATTTCCATTCACCTAAAATGTAATTAAATTGTAATAATATAGTTTGGAGAATTAAGGAATTGATCAGATCAGTTTTTCCCGATTTGTACCATGAATAATGGTCCGTTTTCACTCAAATTTTCAGATTTTCTTTAATTGTACATCTAGCATTGAAGTCACTTCCTTAGCACCACTATCTCTCATCTGAACAATGTTACCAAGTCCCTTTAATTCTTTTCTTCCTTTCTTTCCAAAGCTCTTAGGATTCACATGTTACGTCATAATGTGATACCTGATACTGTATAAGCTGTTATTTTCGCGAGGGTTTTATTTTCGCGAATTTTCGCGAATTGCAAATTATCGCGAAATTATCAACACGCAAAAGTATTACCACCTCATCATTCCTGAGCGCGAAAATATCAGCGTAATATTATCCTCTCGATCGCCAGCGCCATTTGCCTAGCCACTGCCACTACTACAAACATGTACATGCCGCGCCCACACTCACTCAGCTTATTGTGTAGCAGCGGTTGCATTTGCACAGCTTGCAACACTCACTCGGTGATTCCAGTTTCCGCGACAGCAAGTGGGGAAGTTATCATTTTTCAAACGTCTCTTACTCTTCTGTAACCGTTGTCAACTTGGTATTTTAATCACCATGCATTACGCTCGCACCCCTATCTTAAAATCGATCAGCCTTCTCGCTCTATTTGCCGGTACGGTAAGTACCAGTACAGTAATGCAAAGTTATTAGATTAAGAGAAAATAAATCGAAAGGAATGAATAAAGAAAATTGAAGAGAATGACTTTAGAGTACTATAACTCCCTAAATTATCATGAAAAGTAATAATCAAACTATTATTAGTACTGTTAATAAAAACAAGTCAATGACTGAAAAGATGGTTAATGGTTGGTATTATTTTTCATTCTTAGTGCCGTTATGAGTATAAATCGATCTACCATTTGCAATCAAATCTAGCAAGTAAACGAGTCATAAACAATGAGAACATTTATGGGCAAAGGGAGAGAAACAACTCACTGAATCTATGATTGTTTGGACCTACGGACTTCATCGTTTCAAAATAAATCTACCACCACAAGTAAACAACATCCACAAACACACACTCTCAGGCATAACACCCGTAACATGACACACAAAACAATTTCCACTGCCTGAACGCCCGCCGCACAAGTAAGCAACGTCACACAGTACTAGTACATGTGCTTTCAAAACTACGTCATCGCCACTAGCGGGAATTCCCTATAGTGGGGTTTCCCATTTTGGCATTAACGAGCGCCCTATGTGCTGATGCAGTGCTTGTAGTGCGAGTGCGATGCGATGCGATGCTGTGCGATATGTTTTGTGTATGCATGTCGCACAAGCTAACTCTGGTCAGGGAGGTGTGTCTCCGATAGCTTTGTGTATGGTATGTGTAGCATGGCGTGTAGGCATGGCGTAGTGAATTAATACGGAAGTACAGTACAGTACTTAGTACTGCAAAAGTGTCATTCGCGAAAGCAACGACCCGCGAAAATGTCTCTTAGCCTGTCATTCGCGAAAATATCTGTACGCGAAAATATCAGCTTATACAGTATTACAAGAACAGAAGATTGTTATCAGTAATCATCCCTGTTGAATGAAATACAGTCAAACCTGTCTATAGCGACCACCCAAGGGAAACACAAAAAGTGGCCCTTGTAGACAGGTGGTCTTTGTAGGCAGGTTCCTTTAGTACATGTTTCAATGAGAAACCATTTTCAAGGGAAACAATACATGTGCTTGTTATAGACAGGTGGTCTTTGTAGACAGGTGGTCACTAAAGCAGGTTTGACTGTACCACATACTGATATTAATAAAAGCCACAGTTACAACTACGCTTGCATATCCAGCCCAGGGGACGCTCAAGGCACCTAGAAAGTACTATTATTACCCATACTTTAGCCCAGTGGCCGTAAGGCCTTGAAATCAGTCAAGGAACATCTTTCTACCTGGTAGAGAGAGTGGAAAATATAGATTAATGTTTAGGCAAAGGACATTGGTGCCGTGGCAGGACTTGAAACCCAAAGCATGTGATTAACAGTCCAGTGACATATCCACTAGACCACAACACCTAAGAATAATGAAAATAGTGGAGTCTTGTATAGTGCTCATGTCTGGCACATTGCCACTCCTAGCGCTCTATTATTATTATCCTGGCTTTAGCAAGGGCTGCCACTACAGCGCTGAAGCATTTTAAATTTTCCTGCAGGGTCACCATGTACCTCACCTGGGTGGAGTGTGGAAAATAGAGAATAATGTTTTCCCAAACGACATTTTTGATTTGATTTGATTTGATTTTCTTCTGCATTCATGTAAGTATACAGTTTTTCGATAACAATAATAATATAAAGTACAATATCCACGAACATTTCTTCAGCAGAACAAAGTGCAGTCGCACCCGTGGTCACTCACTTAAGCTTTACAAGCTAAAATGCTGGAAGACATTAAGGAAAAACTCATTCAGCCAGAGAATAATCAATGTGTGGAATGGTCTTCCAGGCGATGTTGTGGAGAGTACCACTATGAATCGTTTTAAATCTGGACTTGAGAAATGGTGGAAAGATGCCCCAGATAAATATGATGACAACCCCAAACAAACAAAACCATGGATAGGAACAACAGTCTAAAGACTGAATAATCCTGGATCAAGTGAGTTACAAGTGAGTTATAAATATCCTTCTGACATTGAATCATAAATAAGTACTGCGACACCTCCACATTGTCAATAGTCCAAGCGATAATGAAAATGATGAGTTTACACAAAACTTGGTGTTCTCCCCCCTCTCCAGGACAATCGTTTAGCGAGTGGAGTGTTGAGGTTCCTGATGAAGAACAGCTACCATGAGAGGAAATCAGTGATGAAGAACAACCTGGAAGTCATCAAGACGTTGGTAGAATGCTGGAAAGATGTCATTGATGTACCTACCAGGTGAGTCCTATGTGAAGGCTAAGTGTTCTTGAAGACATAAGCTTGGGTTCTTTAGTGGGAATTTGACACTGTTTGGGTTGGGTATTTATCCAATGATAGATGTTGTCAATCACCGGGAGGGGCTGTCACTTTTGCAACAGACAGGTCTTATGGTATGCACTGCCCCCCTCAGATACATGTACCAATACTTCAAGATTAGATCAGCACAACAATAATTTAAAGTTCTGTAGCCTTACTTGTTTGTGTTTCCATTTCTCTCTCTCTCTCTTTAACTTTTTTTTTGGGGGGAGGATGAGTACATTGTCTCACTGCAAGCAAGGCTCAAAAAGAGTTGAATGGAAAAACAGAATGGCATAGAATATTTCTCAAAGGAACATTTTTTTTTTCAACAAAAGTTAAATCTTCACCATCCTCCCAGGAACTGTTTATTCTGTATCTATTTAATAGACATGCACATATGATTGGTGAAGACTTATAATTCCATTATTTGTTATACTTTTTCAGAGTGATCTATGAGAGCCTCCAAGACCGATCACCTGACAAGAAAGACAGCGCTGTTGGTATTCATCTTCTTGGGGTAATCCTAGCTAATAATCTTCATCCTCTTAGTCCCACATGTGATGTGGATGCAGACAGGTATGGATTTTACAGTTTTAGGACAATTACCTACCCCCTGGACGATCACCCCCAAGAACAATCACCCCCCCCCCCCCCCCCTCAAAAAAAAAAAAAAAAAAAAAATCTGCTTTTATTCAAACCAACTTATTATCATGGTAGACTCCCCCTTTAATGAACGGAGGGGGGGGGGGGGGGATTTGTCAACAGGGTGAATTTCCTGGTGGGAGGGGGGTAGGCATTTTCCAGGGGGTTATTGTCCTTGGGGCGTAGATTTCCGTGCCCCTCCCCTGTTTCATAGATGCAGGCTTGGTTATAGAGAGTTAAGTGGGAGCCCCGTGTAGAGAGTCGCCACCTTTGCATGTTAAAACTCACCGCATTATTATCATAAGAGTAGGAGGAAACCCAAGTGTATCGGTCCACTTGCATACCCCAATCAGTTATACCGGGAGGAGAGACCTGAGGGTTACAGTGATTCATTTTACTTTTCCCCTCCCAGGCACAGGTGTGTCAAATACTTCATGATAATAATACACAACTTGAATCCTTATCAGATTCTTCTTGATTAACCAAAAATCTGAGAAAAGCAACGCTAAAATAGAAGCTGTATTTGAGCTACAGGTTTATGGCACATTTGTTAAATGTGTTTAAAGAAATCACATATTATTTTAATTCTTACACCCAAGTAGGTCTGTAGAAAAATGTTCATCCTTTTTCGTAATAAAAATATCTTGAAGAGTTAATCCTTGCACAGTTTAACTTTATTTTAACTTTTTTTCTTCAGAGGGTTTCCTCACAAAGAATTTTGCTGACAACTTTATTTCCGAACATCTGTATGGTGTTTTCACATGATATCTTCCTGCTTTTTACTTTATCTTTATCTAGGTTTTACTCAGCACTTGCATCCAACATTGACAATAGATACAAGGCGGTTCATGGGGCAGCTGCTGAGGTCATCGGCATGGCGATGAAACAGATGGCTGAGAATGATAAGGTCAGCTCAAAGAGATACAATGTGTCAATGAGTTATTGTTTTAATATATTTCATTTCATTTGACAAATTATCAACAAAATTGTTCATGTGAAGACATTCATGATAGAGAAGGATAGTTCAAGAGGTATCATGAATTAGACGTGAGATATTTCAAAAGATAGATTTGTTTAACTTCATTTTCTGAGGTATTTTCTGGTTATTATTGACAGATTATGCTATCTTTGAAGGAAAGCATTTCAGAAGAATTCATACCGATTAAAATAAAATATATATGTTGCCGGTAGTTATTTCAAATGATGAATCAAGAAATCTTCACTCGTGTATAGATTATGACTTAGAACAAGAGGACTTGTTTAATCGCAAGGTGCTTATGTTCTTTAGATCACTGACGGTCGTCTACATGAAGTAACCTACAAGGAGCTGAGTCAACTCCATTTAGGCTCTGGGAAAGAGGTCATCTTTATCACTTGCCTTCATAAGATCCATCTCCATTATCCAGTCTTCACCGATAGGTTCGTCCAGAACATCGTCTTCTTCTTTCGAAACTTCAGCAATCAGAATATTATTTCAACAGCACCTTTCTGATTTAAAACGAGAGACACATTGTACTTGTTTTCACTTCCAAATTGATCAATTATGATCTTTCAATATCACTTACTGCATGTGTAAACCAATCTTGTTATAAATATATATATATTCCACAAATGAGCAGGACACAAATACTTTCATGCATTGTGGTATTTTGCATAAGTATACAAATGTTTTAAGGGTTGTCATTGAGCTAATCAATATTAAAACAGGTAATTTTGCAAAGGCTTTGTGTCGCACAAAGCAATCCTGTTGATTGATGCCTCTTGTTTTGTGTTGATTGCCTTGTGTGGCAAACAAGCAACTGTGAATTTTACACTTGTGGCAAGTGAAAGGTCGATCATATTCATCATAATGTAAATTGTTGTTTCCGTGTTGCAGATTCATGAACAAGTTGTTGTTCATGTTGCCTTCCATCCATGGTCAACCAAAGACTGAATGTCTGCAGATCATCACAGCCAGGATAGAACATATCGACAATGCTTTCATCGAGATGAAGAACAAGAACATCCTGGCACTACTTACACACAAGTAAGAATCGATAGCTGAGTTTAACAACAATAAATCTAAATTTACGTAGCACAGCTACTGTAAATGCATGTATATTCTGCTGTGATTGACAAAGTATCTTATTTTGATCCCAGGCATTCAAAAAAAAAATTCTTTCGACTGGCTACAAATTTTACCTGGGTGGTGTGTGACAATTATACAGTAAATGTCTTGCCAGAGGACATGTACTTCGAATGAGTTACACTACAATATCTGCACAATTAGGGGTAAGCTCAATCAAATCTAAGATATATTGAACGAAGTAGAGCTAACTTGTGAACTGTGTTTGTGAAAGAGTCTGGGGTGAAACTTGTCTTTTTATGACACTATTGTTCAGTGTGGTGCCTGGCTGGGATTTGAACCCTGAACCGTGCACTCAGATTCAAGTGAACGGACCACACTACCATGGCACCTCTATATAACTTCAATATCTTAGCAACAGTTTGAAATTCATTTCTGTGTATCTTAACAGATCCTAATAGATCGGATTGTGGCAGATAAGCCTTGTGCTAAACAAGTTATCCAGTCAAGCCTATTGCTGCAATCTGTTATGATTTTCAACTACCAGTTTTTTTTTCTTTCTTCTGAATGCATATTAATATGCAATTATATTTTGTTATTATTGCCCTTCTCTCTTTCTCTCTCTCTCTCTCAGAGATGAGGCTGACCAGTTGACGAGTCTCAAGTTGGTAGATGGAATGCTTCCGAAACTCAAACCGTCTGAGCTTCGCTACCTCCTCCCTGCTGTCAAAGACTTTGTTTCTCATCCCAGCCCTAGCTGTAGAGATACAATGTATTCCATTCTCATGTGGATCTACGATAACTACAGGTATCATATAATTCTTACTGTCTGACCAGAAACTTTCTGTAATCGCAAAATATCTGTTAATTCTATGATTTCTGTTATTTTGCAGCAAGGAACTTTTGTGAAACAATATTGAACATCCTCTATGGCTTTTTTGTTTGTTTTTCTCCTTCAGTTTGATTTGTTGTGCAAACTTGGGTCATGTTGCATTGTGTATTGAGGTCTTTTCAAAGTCAAATTGTATGAAAAGCTCTTATTCATTACAATATGTTCATTCAATTATAGGGGGAAGGGGGCAACTGATCTCAAATGTCAATTCAATTCTGATGCCAAATTGTGCATTAATCAACAACATTATTTAATACTGTGAATCTCCGTGTATAAGACCCTATTTAAAAAAAAAGATTGTTGACTCCGTAGGCAGCAAGCCAGGGGAAGGACCTTCATTTTACTGCGAGGTGCAATTGAAGTTGCCGATTTGTGCTCGTGAACTTGTGACATATATAACAGTAACAATGTCAGTTTAAAGAAATTGTACCTGTGTATAAGACGCACCCCCGACTTTCAATTTTTTTTTTCGGCGGGAAAAAAGTGCATCTTATACACAGAGATTTACAGTACCTGCATTTTATATATCATGTTATGTATAAACTTGTAATCTTCTTTCTCTGATTGTTTTATAGGGATGAGGATAAAAGAGAGGGTCAGGATGGGGATGAGGCTCTATCCATCGCCAAGGATACCCTCCTCCAGGGTCTCTCGGATCAGGATAACTATCTTAGGTAATTAGCATTCCTTCCTTCTCTAAATTTGTCTTCCCTAAAAGTTACTGAAAAACGGCTAATTTTGCAGCCTTATTTTTGGTAAATAATAATTGTTGTACTCCCCTCCTTTTGTGGCCTAAAACTTCATGATTCTGGACCACTTTTGAACTTTGTGAAAGTTTCACTCACATGTTAACACCTTGACTACTGAATTCCTTGATTCACATAGACCATCCGATTCCAGTAGGCAATTGGTCAAATATCTGATAGTATTCATTACAATTGAGTTTGTGAGAAATTGTGCATACTGACTCCTTGCTATATTTTGGTGTGTGTATTTCTAGTACCCCAATCTTTTAACAACCTGAGCTTTGTTGTGTCATTTCTTTCTTATGTTTGAAAGCGTTTTTTTGCATTTTTAAATGTTTCTTTCATTTTGTTTTGCCTTCGATTGGTCTGGTCACTTATCATTTGTTGAAAGCCAGAAGTGTGTCAAAATACACATTATGTTATTATTAAAGCCATTCTGCTTCTCATCAGACAATATTCGTCTCTCAGTATAAACCCTTAACCTTTCCTTTCTCCCTCTCTTCCAACTTTCTCTCTTTCTTCACCTGACACATTTTGTTTGTTTCTTGTAGATTGCGGGTGAGTAACTTCTGGAGTCATGAGACTCGTCTGCCCAAGGAGACTCTTGAGCGACTCATCTCCATGTTGGGATGTATGTACTCCCCAGGTACGGAGAATCGTTACCTTGGTTACGCCACCAACCTGCTTCTTGAGATGACCTCCAAGAGCCCTGACTTCAAGAGAGAAATCTTTGAACATCCGTTATCAGCTTGCAAATTTGAGGTATGGAACAATCTGTTTGGTTCTTCATCCTTCATTTGCATTTGTGCCTAGTCATGAAGGTTTTAGATTATTTACAAATGCATGATACATTTCAGACGTTTATGAGTTTTAGACGTTTTCATATTAAATTCAGGCATAGGAATTCGGTAATCATCCATTGATGCTATTGTTTCTTATACTATAACCTGTATAACTAGTAATTTCTAGTAATAGAAATAATGACTATCAAAGGCATTTTTTCCATCTGTTTTTTTAAATCTATGGTGGTTTTTATTATAATCCAGGAAGTTCTGAAGTTCACATTAAAATGCGTACACTGATGGGTACAATAATTTGTATACTTTGAGAAAAATAGTTTGATTGTGATTTTATCATTATATATGAGAATGAAACTCAGAGCACAACATTTACTGTATACTTCCAAATACCTGTCAAAGTACTTAAAGGTAAAGACCAGTATTGGAAACGCCCCAATTTCAAAAAATGAAATCGAAGCTCTTATTACCAATCATGTGAAAGAATATGTTTTGAATATTACATGATGATAAAAATGTTGACGGGAAACCGCCTACTAATTGATATATTTGGTAAATTAGTGTATCTCTCGCCTGTTGAGAGATATGAAATGCACGTGTCGCGCACGTGTGTGTAGTCCCATATACATCTTTCTGTGTACAGTGCTTCTAACTTTATGAAGACTTGGCCAAATTTCTTATCATTTTGATGATTCCAGAACCTTGCAGTACATCTATGCTAGATGATCAGCCTTTTCTGATCGATTTCACAACGTTTCTTTCACAATACAATCGCATGAACATAACTGGTCTTTAGCTTTAAATTTATAAATCTGATAGCATAATAATGATAATAATATTCCGCTTATATAGCGCTTTATGTCTCTAAGCGCTTTACTGATATACAATACTATTACCCCAGTCTTTGGATTTAGTGCTTGCTCGCACACACTGTGTGCTCAATCTCCACTCCCTGGGGAGCATTCCAGCCGGGCGTTACTTGACGCTCAAAAACTGTTTGACCAACAATGACGGTCACATCCTACCGGGTACCCATTTAACACCTGGGTAGAGAGTAGCAAGTGCAGGTTAATATCTTGCCAAATGATATAAGTGCCATGTCAGGATTCGAACCCTTGACCTTCGCATCTCCAGTCAAGCACCTTAAACCGCTCGACCATGACACTCCCACCATTTATGAAATTGATGCTAGCTAAATTGATGTTGTATCTTCAATCTGCAGGGGGTGCAGATCGACCACTCCTGGCGTCAGCGTCACGCAGCAATATCCACACCCAAGTTTGTTGAGACCCAAGTGGGCCAGTCCCAGGGGAGTATTAGGGGATCCCCCTCATCACAGAGTATGACATCTTCGGGAATGAGCATGGGAGGAGGAGGACAGCTGAGGGCCACACAGGCTACTCAAAACTTCACTGCCACTCAAGATAATGGTGAGTGATGGTCATCATAGGGAATGAGGTGATGACAGGGATGTTGATGGTAGTGGTTGGTAGTAGTAGCGATTAATAATGATACAATAGCTTTTATGATGATGACATTGATGATGGTGATAAGGACAAAAATGATGGTATTCGCGATGATGATGATGATTGAATAGATGACGATAATATAGTATTAATGACTGCTTTGAGAGAAATAGTTGTTTTTATACGCTCAATGGAAGGTTAGAATTGTGCTATTACCCGAGGCGTGCCGAGGGGAATAGCCCAATTGTAACCTTCCGGAGAGCGTATAAAAACAACTATTTCTCGAATATTAAAGCAGTCATTAATACTTTTATATGCCAAAAAAAAAAAAAAAAAAAAAAAAACTTTTGTCGAAGATGGGATTCGAACTCTTGCGTACAAAAGGTGATGTAACTAAAGTCAGCGCCTCAAACCGCTCGGCCAGCGCGCTCTGTCACCATGTACAGTAGTTTTCTTTAATATATACATTAAAATGAATTGAAAACGGCTTCGCGTGGTCGATGCTTCGCCGCTGCTCCATTAAACGGGCCCTTCTTTTACTTTTGCAATGCATATTGGCACGAACTTAGATCTATCGGCAGATGTTGTTTTTTTGTTTTTGGAAGTTTATTTTCGTCTTCATGTCAACAATGCAAGATAAAATTGTCGGTAAGATCGATCGAGATTCAATTGTATTGAAATTACCGACCAATTCTTCGCACACGTACGGTATCCTCGATCGCTCAGACCATTTTTTAACATGTAAACCTATGGGGTAATCATGGAGACTGACCTATTTTCCCAATAACCATGGTTATTGGGATTTTGAACTGTTTTTTAACCATGGTTACCGGGAATTTTCGGGAACGGTTGAAGTTTATGAATGCAATTTCGACCAATCAGATTGCTGGATTACTTAAGTGAGGTATATAATGATGATTATAATGATTATTGGTAATGATGTTTATGATAGTGATGATGATGATGATGAGGCCTAAAAAAAACTTGTTGTATTGCCCTTTGGGTGGCAAAACATGGGTCAGTCGGTCAAAAAAACAAAATTATTTAAGTTTTTTTTTTGTCGCCCTCTTTGGGCGGATATTTTTCAGATTTGAATGTTATTGTTGTTCTTTTCTTCTTTTTTTCCCGCCCTCTTTTGGCTGATATTTCTAATTTTTTTTAGTGCTTTAATACATTGTCATCATTCCATTGATATCTTTCTCATCTCATAATTATCCATGGTTTGCACGAGTGAGAATTTTTTTGGAATAATTTGATTTTATGCATTTATATCCCATTTAAACAAACAAAATACATGTTATTTTATTTATTAATTTTAAAAAAATCTAAAAAAACGGTTTAAAAAAAAAACCTTTTTAAAAATGCTGACCGTAGATTTTCAGATTTTGGGGTCGGTCGCAAAGGGCAATACTACAAGTTTTTATTTAATGCCTAATGGCGCCGATAATGAAGGAGGTGATGATTGATAATGATAAAAGCACTCTATTTTTATTATTGTGATGATGATGAAGATGTTGACAATATTTTCAATGGTGATAACAATGATGACAATGGTATTTGCGATGATGTGATGATGATTATGAAGATGAAACTAAAGTAATGATGATTTTGATGAGTATTGAGAATGATGATGACAATGTTGATGGTGATGATGATAATGATGAGATGATGATAATAATTGATGATAATGATGAAAGCAATGATGATGATTGATAAAAATGTTTATGATTCGATGATGATGATGATTTTGAAATCAATAATGATCCATGGACTCCCATCTTGATGTTTAGGGCCAAGTTTACAAATCGAAACACCTCGCGCCTATTACAAACGATGCTAATGTCAGCATTTCTATTTTTAATTGATATCTTTAATATCCCTATTTTGTCTTAATAAAAGCTGCTTCCAGTCACAAGAATGGCTACAACTGGTTGACAGGTAGCCAGGATACGTTTGCTGATTATTCATCATCTTCATCAGCGAGTGAATCCTCTTTGCTCTTTACTATGGGGTCTCTACCAAAGAGAACTGCCCAGGGCTTCAGGGGCGTCAAACAGGATGCTGGAGCAGGGGGAAGCAGAGACAAAGAGGCCAGGAAAGGTTAGTCAAATCTGTTTCAATCGTTTGCATTGACTTTGTACATAAATGCACTGAAAACTTAGGTTATGAAGGTCAGAGAGATGGCTTGAATTTTTTTTGTACTAGGAGAAATATCATACAAGATTCCCCACACCTTGTGACTGTTAGGTTTCCAACCTCATTCTGTAAATGTTTGCATGAATCTTGAAAAGAATATAATATGTAGATGACCACTCAGCCATAAAATGTTAAAATCTGGAAAATGAGAGTAAGCGTGCATGCTGGTGTATAGGCAAAGATAGGAAAAGTCTGAAATTCCCCTTTAACCCATGGGATACACATTGATTGTGGTACAGTCAAACCTGCTTTAGTGACCACCTGTCTATAAAGACCACATTTTATTGTTTCCCTTCAAAATGGTTTCTCATTGAAACATGTACTAAATGAACCTGTCTACAAAGACCACTTTTTGTGTTTCCCTTGGGTGGTCGCTATAGACAGGTTTGACTGTGTAACATACATTTTCCATGTACTCTAGTCCAAGATATCTTGGGATCGTTGTTCAAAGGTCTAAACTGTTAGTGTGTGTGTGTAGGTGATACAGTCAAACTTTCTGGAATGTGCTTCATTTTGGAGGAACCTGTAAGTAAAGACCATCTGCTCATAGAGACCACTTTTTCTAGTCTCCCTTGAGCGGTCTTTATATACATGTTTTTGCTGTATTTAATTAAGATGATATGATTGCTGCTTCTTTGCATCCATGAATCAATAGGATCAAGTGCATTGTTATAGTTTGAATGAGATCATTTCTATATTATAATCCTCTTTGCAACGGTTCTTCCATCTGGAAATAATGACTTGTGTTTTCTGTATTGTATTTTTCACCAGCACCCTCAGAAGGGGAGAAGGAAGTTCAGCGACTCAAGAGACGTTTCATGAAGGACCAATCCTCTCAGAGTGCATTCTTTGCTAAACGGGCTACAAGGCAAAAAGAACTCAGAGAGGTACATGTAGAACTTCTTCTTTTCTCTTTGTATTTTTTTTTAATTCTTTGTAGATTCATATTTCATACTTAGTTTTCAAAATCATATTTTCACTTCTCTCAATTCCTATATCTCAACTTTTTTTTATTAATACTATACACCAAACTTGAAATTGTGAAAGTCCTTAAAAACGATTAATGATGTTTAAGGTATGAACATGTTTATTAATGATTTATGAGTTGGTACATGTAAATGTTCTTTGTCAAGCCTCCACATGATTCATGCTTTTATAGAAGGGAATTTCTCTGACATTTTTTGATATTCATTGATTTTTTATTAGGTTGACTGTTAATTAAAAAACAAAAACAAATTAGTAATTTGACAAAAACAAACCATTTGTCAATCAGATATTCATTTTTTGTGACTTTAAAATTTGTTTATCATGAACTTTCTTTGCAGGAGGTGCAGAAGAGCCAGAGAGAGCGTAGGTTTGCGCAGGTGACGATGTACCGTCAGTACAGGACAGGGGACCTTCCAGACATCCAAATTAAACACTCTGACATCATAGCACCACTACAAGCTTTAGCACTGGTGAGGAGATGGTTTGGTTTAAAGTGTTTAATGTTTGTTGGGAGATTTAAAGAACGCATGCATTAAAACACTTCTTGTAGCATATTTGATTAGCAGGGCACTGTAAGGTAGTGGTTGATTGCTATTTTACAATTGATTCTAGAGTAAGATCAATTTGCTTTGTCTTACAGAGCCTAGGTAAATGATTGACTTTTAAAAAATAGGAATAGGAACTTCACAGCAGTCTACATTTTTTTAATATTCACAGATGAAATGTTTGGATGAATACTCCAGGCATGAGCAGTAATGAGTGCTTGGGTATTACGTAGGATTCAAAATATTTTTTTTTACTTTGGCCATGAAGGAAACCTCTTCATTGTGCAATGTATATCATGAGCCTTACAAAATGAAAGAATTGAACTGTTAGAAATTTTATTGGTGATAACGTAAAGACAAATTTATTTTCATTATTTTGCAAAACTGCTATAAATTTTCAAACAAATTAAATCCTATTTGTCAGAGAGACTCCACCCTGTCTCGACTGCTGTTCTCCGCCCTCTTTAGGGGTATCTTGGCCAGGATAGGAGACATGTGCACAGATGGAGAAACAGAGCTTCATGTGAAAGGCATTGAAAGGCATCTCAACCAGATGCTAACCGATTCAAACCAGTTTGATCCGGCTTTCATCAGCTGTATGTTGGTAAGGGATGTTCAGGGCCATATTAAAGATAGTAATTAACAAACGTTATGATTGCTGATGCTGATTAAATGATATCCAGAGTTTTAAAATAGAGATGCGTGCTGAAATGGTCAAAAGACTTCAGACATTTCTTGAATACTTTACTCTATTAACTACCGTATTTGCCGGCGATAAGGCCGCAGCACCTGTGCCTCGTTGCATAAAACTTGCCTTTGATGGTAACTTTGTCATTGATGGTAACTTCGATGGAATCATTGATTTGATTGGCTGTTGAGTAATGTTGCCATGGTACATGTACATGTAGTTAATATTGATGGCAAAGTTACAATCAATGGTCATTCTTATGGAATGGGTCCCTGATCATGGTATAGATGGCAAAAAACGTGGTCATGACATTAGTGGAGTTGTCATGGTCTAGTGGATACGTCAGCGGACTGTGGATCCCATGGTTGGTGGTTCTAGTGCAGCGGCGGGACTAGAACCACCAACTTTGCCATCAATATTAACTACATGTACCACTGCACTGTGTAGATAGGACTTCTATCTTCAGTGAAAGTGTGTTGCACTGTGTAGATAGTAGCCTATCTACACAGTGTAACAAACTTTTTGATTCTCCCAGCAATGATGGGCAAACTATTTTTCATCACATGATTCACTTTTGACCAATTGTAGAGCAAGATTCTTAGTATGTGGAATATAATATGTACAGTATTACAGCAGGTTCAAAGATTTGAGTCAATATATGGCATAGAAAAACTACTCATTTGGATTTCTCTTTTATCGTTCCACAGGAGATCGGCTTCTACCACAGTGAGCAGTTGACCCTTGACCCTGCAGCTATCAGCCAATCATGTCTGACCAGTCGTCAGCTTCTCATCGGTAGGACCATCATATATCATGATGTGAGCTGAAAGTCACCCCTTAAAAAATTTAGCTTTTTAGAAATATTCTGATGATAGCTTTGTAAACAACAAAAAGTTGCATGATAGAGACATACAGTTAAAGATGTTCATGTATAGGTGTATAGTTGTTCGTGAAGTAGGCAACTTGGCGATCACTACATAACACTGAGCCAAGAGGTATTACACGTCCGTGTGCTGCCCTTTATATAACCACGCATGAGCAACTTTAACAATTAAATTACATACCTTTACTAACTTTTGTAATTTTTTAAGCATGTGAAAAAGTTATTTGTCCCGATTTCCGTTTCTTTAGAAAAGCTTACATCTGAAAGGCCCTTATTCAACCAGTCCACCTCTCATTCTTGAGTTACTAAAAACAAAAAAAACATTAAATTTTCAAGGCGTATGCATATTTTAGTTGATTACAGTATCTTATAACACAGAGCTCAGGGAATTCGAGTTGGACTTTTGTTGTGCACGGCTGCCTTTCATTACCATTAAAGCATTAAAAGCATTGTGGCATTACCACTTCATATCCGAACGAGCCTTAAGGCCCGGTCACACATAGGGGACGCATGGGGGACGCACGGCCAGCGCATTGGGAATTTGCAATTTTGACCAGTGCGTTGTCGTTCGCTAGGTGTGCGTCATCATTCGTTACTCGTTCGTCGAGCGCGCTGGACCAACGCTATGCATTCGTCGTCATTCGCTGTGTGCGTCAGGATTTTTTGAGCATGCTCAAAAGTGTGCGCAGAGGTGATGCATGAATGTACTTGCCAAAAGGATTCCAGACATGCGCTGAGCGCGCTAGACCAACGCCAGACAAACAGGAGCCCACACCCTGTAAACGCACAGCGCGCTAGCAACACGATATGCATTCGGTGTCAGCTCGCTAGCTTCTCCCAAATCCTGACAAAAATCGGGTTCACAACTTTTTTTTTTTATTTTCAATGCGCCCGCCGTGCGTCGTCTATGTGTGACCTGGCCATAAAGGGGCTGACAATTTTTTAAAACTCTGTTAGAATTATCTTTAAATGTTGTAATTTAGAATTATAAAAGAGATTCTTAATCAATCTATGTTATTGCTTGAAGGTATTCGTGTGTTGGAGGAGGTGTTGATTAAGAAGAGCGGGGACGATGAGAGAAGTAGGAAGAGAGCAAGGACTTCAAGACCAGAGTCCAACCAGGAGATGAGTACATGGATTGAACTAGCTAGGTATGTTCATATGATTATCTGTCATTTTATTAAGCATATCACATTCTGATATAACATCGATCTACGCTACTAAAGGGCTTTTGAAATGACTACCCTAGCTTTTAGCTCTGTTAGCCATCACCACTCTGTATAAACCATAAGCAGTAACGATATCAGGATGAAGAGGAAACCCTGAAGCTTGTTGCCTATGATATCTGGACATTTTAAATCATCAAATGATGTTTGGCAGGCCAGTTCTAGTTCTAAATTAAGGGGGGTGAGGTGTTTTTAGCGTTGATTGAGAGTTGGAAGTAGTGCTTGTCTTTAGATGTTTGCCTTTTGATTAATTTCTACTCTCCACAGCTACAGGAGGAGTATGGAATACCAGAAAGTTACATTTGATTTAAGGGAGAATGTAGTTTTTCAATTTTTGTTGCTGTGATGGAGATATGCCTGTATATTTAATCGCAGCAATGAATGAACTTCTTTTTAATCATTTCTGAAAACTTTTAATTCAGTACACATCACAACCCTTTCTGAGTTGTCTCGTTATTGCAATCTATGAGAAATATGCTCCTAACCTACATATTCTGACAAGAAGTGCTCAATCTTTTAAAATATTTATTTGCAGGTTGTACAAAGCCATGGGGGAGTTTGATGTTCTACGAGGAATATTTGGCGCCCTCATTAAGACGAAGGATGTGACGCAGGAAGCTATCCAAGCGGAGTCAAGAGGAGACTACGAGTCCGCTCTCGAACTCTACTCAAAGGTAAAAGGTCACTCAGTTTTTCATTTTTCATTTGCAGTACAGAACTTGAAATATGCAATTCACAAACTAGATTTCAATCTAATTAAATAAATGTGCTGTAGAAATTATTGGATGTTGTTTCATTTTACGGTAGGTCTTTTTTGTCTCTAAAATTGAGGGTGCAAGGAAGGAGTCACGTTTGACGATGCGGAGCGTGTTCACAAACGGAAGTCAAAACTTCCAGACAACTGACAAGAAACGATTGTATCACACTCAAGACTAAAATCCTGATCAGACTATAAAAATTACAATGTAATTGGCATTTGTTGTTCAAATATACAAAATTATAGCTTACCCAGGGTAAAATGATAAAGGAAAATACATTAAAGCACTCAGAACAACATCGATGTGCCTTTCAATCATTCTAAAACATGCGTTGATCACGGCCAAGCTAAAGTTCGAAGTGAAGTTCGTTTTGCTCGATGAGCTTGGATACAGCCCTACACCATCAAACATGCAGGTCCGAAGGTCCGAACGGATTCAACCAAATAATAATACCACGTTAGACCTTTGTTCAATGTACATATCCAATTTGTGTAATTCACATGCAATTCAGTGGTGAAACTGCCATTCATGAAAGATGCAATAACCATTTATCTATCTTGTATACAGGCAATATCATCCGATTGGGGCCCAGATGGCGTTGCTCGGGAGGAGGAAGACTTCTGGGATGAGGCTCGTCTTCAGGTCAGCTACTCATATTTGTACCATTGGACATTCAAACATGATTGAATAATTCTTAGCTAATTTTTAGTACTTTCAGTGAAGTTTTAATTTGAGGAAGAAATATTTGAAATTATTTTGGAATGTTATCATGTAAATAATTGTTTGTTTAGGGAAATTTTATGCTGAAAACTTATTGCAAATGGCAAAGCAGTGTAAGTGGCTTACATATTAGCCTTCCCATAGTCCAAACATTTAATATAATGCCTTGTTTACTTTGCTTATTACTCACAATTACGCATGTTCTTCATATAGATTAGTCAGATGTTTTTTATGTATGTAGAGATAGTTTTGTGAATTGTTTATGCTCATAACCAGAGCCTCAGATTATCTTTAATATCAAGCAAATGTTCCGGTTTTATTTGACTGGATTCAATCATTTATTACCAAAATATATTCATAATACAGCAACCAAGTCATTTGATCACTTTCTATTTGTAGTGCTGCAACCAGCTGACAAAGTGGGATGACATGGAAAGCTTCTCAACTGATCAGATTGAAGGAAAAGGATCAAATGATTTGTCTCAGATATGGAACGATGATTACCAACAGGTACATTAAATTGTGTATTTTGGCCATGAACTAGTAGGAAACAAGTTTATAAGATGCAAGTGACTTCTTTAGTATTCAGGATTGTACATACATGTAATATCTTGATGGTTCTTTAAATGAGATCTGTTGAAGTACTATACCTTAATTTCATCTAATTTAATGTATCAAGTGTGTGTTTTTTTTACAGTTTAGAAGGTTCATTACATTTTATGGTAAAGTTATTTTTATTGTATCAGTTTTGACCTTCATCACTTAAGAAACGTTACCAATACCCCATTCACAGTGGCCTCAAACACCGCGACAGCAGCGGGACTGTCCCGCTGCTGTCGCGGTGTTGTCTTCAGTGTGAAGGCTCTGACCCGTTATAAACTATCGCGGGATAACACCGCCTCGCCATAACGCCGCGACAAACTATCGCTAGGTTCGCCTAGCTACAGCAGCGGGACAGTCCCGCTGCTGTCGCGGTGTTTACTCAGTGTGAAGGCTCTCCGCTATAACACCGCGACAAACACGTGTGATTTGTTTACTTACCTATCACTGACCTCTTTTCTCCAGCAATGGGGAACATAAAGTGAAATAGAAATAAAGTAACCAGTGGATTCAAATTGATTTTATTATTATGTAGATATTATAATTATCCAAATAAAAATATTTCACACTTCAAAAAATCAAAATATTCTGACTGGAAGCAATAAAAATGCTAGTTTTTTAAAAAAGTAATATGATCGAGCTAGCTACATGAGGAAGAGTGTGTAAAGTACAGCTAGCGCGCGCAATTTCAAGCAATCGAAAACCCCGCGCTGAAGTATTTCCGGTCATATCGGGGTCACTCGCGGGTCATGAGCCATGCATACACGTGTTTGTTACGGAGGTAATAAAAATCACCCGCTGCAGCGTGAATGGGTACATGATATTTATCCCGCTGCTGCAGCGGGATAACTTTTCTACTGTGAATGCATTTGTAGCGGTGTTATGGCAGTGTCGCCGCTCCGCTACAACGCCGCTACAAATTTCAAAACCACTGTGAATGGGGTTCAAGTAAAATAATTGACAAGTTGTGTTTTTGTGAGTTTGTTCTCTTGTTTTTTGTTTCGGATGAGTTATAGAAGATGACATGTATCAGATTATTATTTTTGATGCAGAGGAGTGTTGCATACATATTTATTTGAAATTCATGTTGACATTGCTTATATTATTATGTCATGTTCTAAATGTTCTACATCATTTTGGTTTGCAGGAGATCTACCTGCCATACATGATGCGATCCAAACTCAAGCGCTTGATGGAAGGTTCAGAAGATGATAGTCTCCTAGGCTTCATCGATTCATCTGCCAAGGACCAAGAGAAGAGAGTCATTCTAGAGGTAAATTCTTCATTCTTTTTCTTTAACAAGTCAAAATATGACATGTAAAAATGTAATCTTCTACCAACCTTAAAATTAAGTAGGCAAGTTTTCGTCCACTCCTGTATGACCATCTCAAGCCAAGTGATTCTTTACAGTTTCCTGCTGTCTGCTGCCTCGAGGTCACTGGAGCAAAGATAGAGATAGTGACTAGCCAGAGTCCCTATTCAGTGAAGGCTTAATCATTTTTATCCACTCTATTTTCTGACTATTCCCACATATCATAGATGTACATGTATAACAAATTATTCATACCCCTTGTAAATTTGATGTTTTCTGTGTTTTTCATAACTCAAGAATTAAGGCATTTGTTGAATACTTTTAGGTTTAAGCTTTAATATGTCACATTCTCAACAAACATAATCAGGACAAATCGATTTTCAAAAACTTGGTAAGGTAATGAATAATTTAGTTGTTAAGTGTATCTACTTGTTTTATTGTTTGGAATGCAGAGATCTAGTTTAGAACAATCTGTATCATGATAGGAGCATTTTGATCTACATATGTACAAGAGAAATGATACATGCAGTAATACCAAGATGATTTATATCATGAGAAATGAAAGTACTTGTATATCTTTCAAACTTCTCATAGGAGTTATACAAGTTTTGTGTTAGGGACTGCCAACCCTTTCTAAAACTTCTGTTTTATGAACTGCAACTTTGATAAACATTTGTCATTTCTCCCACAGAAAAACTCCTGTGAATTGCAAAAACTAAAGGTTGTAGTTCAATCAATTTATGTCATGAAACTATCACAAGTATGGAGTACTTGTGAAGTTTGTGAAAGGTCCATGCTTATTAAGTTTCTGGTTTTGCGATCCGTCAAGCTTTAAAGGCATCGTTTAACAATGTTAAACTGAGATGCACAGCCCTACGTGTTATCAGTGTCTGTGATATGGTGTAATATTGAAGCCTTTGAAAAATTGCGCTTCAAAATGATCAAGAAGTGCCTCAAAAAAGTAAAAATCTTTGAGTGACCGGTTTTACCATACTCGTTTTCCCCAATAGACTGTAGTGTTATGAAAACCGTTAGGAAAACACAAAAATTGGTTTCGATTTCCAATCATAAATATCTTGATAATCAGACAGGCGATCGGCTTGTAAAAGTCATGGAGTTCCTGACGGACCTACACTGTAAAGGTTTTTAATTATCATTGCAGCATGAGCTAAATCCAGGATTTTGTTTCAGAATCTGAGACAAAGTTAACAGATCCCTTTAATAGAAAAAATGTTTTCATATGTGACTTACTTTTTTTCTTTTTGCATGATTTGATCAGTCTCGATACACAGAGGAATTGGCTGCCTTGTCTATTTTGAAAGAAGACTACAATAGAGCGAAATATTACTTGGCAAACAGCACAAGTTCCTTTCTGCAGGTAGGGGTACACTGGGCATGTTGTCTTTTCTATTATTTCTCTGTCGGTGTTAGAATTTTGTTCTCATTTGGGTAAAAGGATGTAGTTGCATTTGATCAATGATTACAATGTACAATTTAGTTTCAGCAATGACAAATGAATGGGATGAAATCAATGCTGTTGTATTTTCAAAATGCCTCCATATTTGTTTGTTTCTAAAACCCCTTTCATAGCCGTTTCATCGCTTTTTTCATCGCTATTTCTCTTCTTTCTATCGGCTATTCTATCGGCTTTTTCTCCTCTGTAGCATTCATAGTGACCATTTTATAGGATGCATCCGGACGCATCTGATGAAAATCAGGCCACTATGAGAGGGGTTATCACATTTCTGATGCTTTTCATTCTGGGTTATTACTTATTAACAGGCCAAACACATAGCAGTTTATGATTTTTTTTTCATAACTTTTCAAGAATAATAGATTATTTGATTGATTGAATACACAATGAAAATGTACAATTAGTTGGGGACTGAAAAAGTAGATTTTTTCATGCCTCATGTGGCATTTTTCTTAGTCCTTTTCCAAAAATTCATGAAATACTTTTTCTATTTTTAGGAGTGGTCTGGTCTTGGACCTCTGATGCTTACAAGTCGTCTGTCCAAACTCCAAGACATCCAGAAGCTCACTGAAGCTGAACAGTTCCTACAACTTGCCAACAAACCATGTGAGTTCTCTCAAGTTTGCTCTTAATCCTACCATTTGGTCGCGTAATCTTGCTGTCAGTTGAACACTTAATTGATTTTGAATCAAAGTCTAAAATTGAAGCATTTTCAAACACCTTTGTGTTATGTTTGAAACATGAACTTGTAACAAGATACCACGAAAGTTAGATAAATTAAGATAAAATGCATTGAATATTGGAATCCTCCATTGATATTCTCAATTTAATATTCATAAACTTTGTTGATAATGTTGTTTTCATCAATTGCTTGACATCAGTTACTCATGGTGCACATAAAAGGACTACCAGTATACACAAAAGTAGAATAAGAGTACGATAGTAGATGTTCTTGTATTCATGTTTTGATTATTTTTATGCCGCTAGTTTCCGAGGGTTTGAAGTCTTCTGCCACCAGACTTGTGTCGGACTGGTCCAGGAATCTACCAGACCCAAAGAGGGATCCAATCAGTGTGTGGGATGACGTCACTCAATACAGGTCAGTCCAGATGTATATTGAGAGTCTTTTAAAACAGCAGGGTTCGTTCACATATCCTGTGGTGTACTAAAGTAATTGCAATTTGGGATGAAAATGGTTAATAGCTTCGTGCAGCTAAGTTCATACATGTACTCACATACAGTTATATATATGTTAATATACAAAAAAGGGAAGTGCAGTCATTTAAGTACGCTTTAATAAGAATCATGTGGTAAACCGCATTGGTTTACAGCTGCAGCATACAGTGTATGTGCTTTATATCAAACACTGATAATATTTCAGTGAGTCGTCACCAAGGTCATTGTATTCACTTTACACCCAGCACCTTCATTGCATACTTACTGCTTCCTTGAGTTTAATACAGTTACTCACATTTAACAACAGTGTGCACTTGTTATTAAAACCACAATGAATTTGACATCTTATAGGTTACTTTTACACACCTGGATAACGAGAAGCAATGAGATATTCCAGTCTCATGTGCATAACTTAACCCCTCTCTCTGTATCTCTCTGTGTCTCTTTCTTTATGGATTTCTCTGTCTCTCTCCACCTTACTCTGTCTCTTTTTCTATCTCTTTTTCTATCTCTCTCTCTCTCTGTTTATCTCTTTCTATCTATCTATCTATTTACCTATATATCTATCTCTCTCTCTTTTTTTTAATATATATTTACCTCTCTATCCACCTCTCTCCCTCTCTCTCTCTCTCCCTCTCTCTCTCTCTTCCTCTCTCTCTCTCTCTCTTTCTCTCTCTCTCTCCATTTATCTATCCATTTCCCTCTCTCTTTCTCTCTCTCTTTCTCTCTTTCTCTTGACTGTACTTGTTGATGTGCATCATTCATCAGATGTCTCTACATGGACAAGCTGTGTAACCTGTTAGGTGACTCAGGAGGAGGAGGAGGAGGAGGAGACTCCATGGAGACAGAAGACCAAAAGTTTGATGACCTTGTGAGGAGGGAGAAGGTTCTCTTGTCTATGAAGATGGCTGATAGTGCTTGCCAACAGGTGCGCATGTGATATTGAATAGCCTTGATTGGGATGCAAGGATATACTACTATCCCATGGGCTGATGAGCATATTTCACAAGTCGGCATGACAAACAAAATATTGTTAAAGCGAGTTTGATATAGTATACACGTGTATATCACAAAAGAAAGCCATTCAATATTGTTATTAGTTGTATGAAACCCAGTACCTTAATTTTCAGCACTACATCCTTATGTTTTTTTTTAAATGAAATCCACATTAATCAGAGGGAGAAAAATACATTTAGTCCTTACCCATCCATTTTGAAAGAGTTGCACGCATACATCCAATGTCTTAGCCTTTGCGTGTTTAAATGCATATTTACTGTTTCACGAGTTCGCATACCCCAAACTATGAAACATTGTTTTAAAATTGCACAGTCATCCTGGTACTTTTGCACAAAGCCCAAGATCTTTTGATTTTTCTGGTCGGCGCAAATAATAATACAAATATTAATTACAAAATGGATACATACTGTAATCTGCTGCTTGCAAGAAGGCCTTTGATTCATTGTTGTTGTTTTTTCAGTTCCTTGCATTTTTTAGGGTCACAACTCCAATAGTAGCAGGTGAGAATGCATATCATTGAATGTACTTTCATTAAATATCTACACATGTACATGTATTGATGAAAAGATGAAATTGAATTTTCAAACTGAAATTGGTTGTAAGAATGCTTTACTGGGCAGTTGACAACCATTACCTTTTCCATGATTCTGTCAAACAAAGGAAAAACTTCTTCATCAATTTCAGTCAAACCTGTCTATGAAGGCCACCAAACGAAAACACAAGAAGTGGCCACTGTACACAGGTGGCCTTTTTAGAGAGGTAGCTGCTAAGTATATTGTGATCCCATCTCATGATAGTAGATATATGTGGAAGCAAAGTAGCACATCTTTGATCTTTTCCCTTTGTACTCCAGGCCAATTTCTGTGTTGCAGCCAAACATCTCAAATCAACTCATCGGGGCCTGGTAGAATTTGAGGACCTCCGACCAGCCTGGACTCACAGTTATGTGTCTATGACACAAAGGAAGGCATTGCTTCTTAAGCCATATGAAAGGATCACCTCTCTTCTCAAGGCCTTAGATCATCTCGGTAATCAAACTATAAAGTTGATTTGTTTTATGTATACTTTTTTTTGTTATGCCTCCGCCACCTTATGTATTGCTGGAGTCATTGTATTTTGGGGTTGTCGGTTCCGCTTTTTGTTACCGCAATAATTTGAGAACCATTGAACAAATCCTCTGGGATCAAGAATGTACAAGTATGCAAGGACGAACTGATTAGGGTTTGAATTGAAGAGTTCAAAGGTCACACAGGTGTCCTAAAAATACTTTAACTCTTATGTTAGTAAACAAGATACAGTCAAACCTGTCTAAACCAACTACACAACGGAAACACAAAAAGTGGTCTTTGTAGACAGGTTCCTTTTGTACATGTTTCAATGAGAGACCATTTTCAAAAGAAACAAAAAATGTGGTCTTTATATACAGATGCATACAGTATTGAGAGGCATCTGAGCAAGCACTAAATGGAATCTGTATATTCCATGCAATTTTAGTTTGTTATGAAAATTAACATACTTAAATAATACTTAAATAATTGAATATAACATAATTTTCAGAAGTATAAATTCCATTTTTTTAATCCATCTCAGTCATTCAATCAGTATAATATGTTGTATGATGTGCTGCAGGCAAGTTACCAGTATCCCATAACTTGGGGAGTGATCTGTTCCTACTCTGCGACCATCGTATCCTGACCAGTAAGACCTATCAGTCCATGGCTAGCGCTCTACAAGAAGAAAGTAAGTAGGCCTGATAATCGTGAAGAAGAATGACGGTTAGAGAAAATTGAAAGCATGAGAAGAAAAAAAATTTAATAATTTTACATATTACATTATTATGCTTTGTACAAGAAGGTACCTCGATGAATGAGATGCATGACTGAGTGGAATCAAATTAGATGACGACTTTGTTTTGACTATTAAAGAGGTGTGCATTATGTACAATACCTGGTCTTTACCTACAAAGTTGTAAAATACTTTAAACTTGGTCATTTTCAGACCATATTCAAAACATGCATGTACAGGATTAAGGAATAGTCTAATATTATGGTGATTGTAATGATAGAGTGCAAGGTAAAATTTTCTCTTTTCTGTCTCTGTCTTCTTCATTGCTAAGAAATATTAAATGATAATAATGGAGGTTTAAATCTGCATTTACGTAACCCATGGTCTATAATTAGCGCAAAATAAGCGTGACACAGTCAGAGGTCCAATATTGGACGAGCGTGAGGCAAGGTACGCTTAATTTGCGCAAATTTTAAACCATGGGTTATGTAAATGAGGGTTTAAACCTCCTTTGTGAATTTGGGCCTTTGAGACTTTAAGTTTTAAAAGTGATAAATGCTTTACAGTATCTGTACAATAACACGGCTTCCCATTCAGTCCTCGGGACAACTACTCTCTCTACCAAGTTGTAAATACTGTTGGTACAGATGAAGTATAGTTACAGTATTTTGGATCTTCCTCCCAGCTTGTCTAACAACTTCTGTTTTTCTATTTCTTGCTGTGATACTTTAGAAGGAGAAATGTTAACCAGACTCAGTGATGCCGGCAAGCTGGATAAATTGCTTTCTAAAGCTGAATGTCAAGAGAGCAAACCTGAGAAGGTGAGAAAATTAAAATATCTTGAAGTCAGAACCTTGTTGGTCATGATCCTTAACCCCTAACGTGCCATTTGCAGCAAACCCTGCACCAGCTTTCAAGCTTTGACGATCATATTTGGAAATCACATGACTCCTGTAATACCAGAATCCTTTGCGTGCATGAAATGTGTTCATATTCCACAAGTGGTTTAAATTCACGAAAGTTTCATGCTGTAAAAATGCTGAATTAATTAAATTGTAAGTGAAACTTCACCATTGGAAGTTTATTTATGGCAGTTTTATACCTAACAAGCAAAACAAAAACAAATGAGAAAATATACGGTACATGGACTATAAGGGCAATCAGTATGATTTATTGGTATTCCTCCTAGACTTTTGTTTTCCACTCCATTGAATACAGGTGTGTCAGAGTCTGTTTATGAAGAGCAAGAAATACCTTGATGATGCCGTAGGAACCATCAAACTAGACCCTGCCTCCCATTCATTATCATCATCAGCTAAGAGAGAGGAGCAGAGCATGGCAAAGGCGCACATGGCTCTCGTCAGCTTTTGTGATCAGTTGCTACGGCAACAAGACGATGGTAAATGAATATTAACATTGCTTATCCATGAGTATGAGTACAATGACATGTTTTGTCCATTCATTCAATTTGCTGAGAATTATATTAGAACAATGTTCTAAAAATAAAAAGTGTCCTAAACCTTTATAATAATAAATCATTCTTACTGAGCACTTTATCGGTTACAACGCTCACAGTATTATTACCCCGGTCACTGGATTCTGCTTGATTCTGCAGAGTCGTAACAGAATCCAGTGACCGAGGTAATAATAAAGCCAATTGCCAGTTTTAACCCCAGGTTATAACCCTAAACCTAAACCTGACCTAAAACTGAGTTGCAAACCTAAGCCTGTATTTTTGATGTTATAAAGCCCTAGAGCAATTGTCACCAGAGCAAATGACTGATAAAATTAAAAGTACTTTAGTGATCTTGTCTACCCCTCACTGATCAGTATTAGTAATGTTCTTACTTAGGGCCTTTCTATTTATATTAATGTATTACCTAGGCTTTAGTCAAGCAATTATGACAAGGCACTCAAGCATTCAAGGAATTTCTTCCTACTGAGTACCCACTTACTACTTCTGGGTAGAAAGTGACTAGGAAGACAAATTTTATGGTAGGTTTTTACATCAAATTCTGCCAAATTTATTTTAAAAAGACACTATTGACAGTAAACTTTGTATTTAATGTCAGATGACTTACCCACTTACTACTTCTGGGTAGAAAGTGGCTAGCAAGAACAATTTTATGGTAGGTCTTTACAACAAATTCTGCCAAGTTCATTAAAAAGAGACACTATTGACAATAAACTTTGTATTTAATGTAAATTATTTGTAAATAATGTGATTTCTTTAAATTTTCCAATAAAAACCCAAATTTAAAAAAAAAAGTATTATTAAAAAAAAAAAAGTCTGATTTTGACTAGCGGTTAAAAAGAATTTGAAAATAATCTGTTATGTAACAACACTTGTCTTTACAACAAATGCTGCCAAATTTATTTAAAAGAGACACTATTGACGGTAAACTTTGTATTTAATGTCAGATGATTGCAACCCTGATTATTTGCCCTTGATGGAAGCATACCCCTCCACCGTGGTCAACTCAACTCTTCAAGCTATGAATCTGAACTCACCCGAGGCCAGGCAACACTTCCCAAGGCTGCTCCAGCTGGTAGAAAAATATCCTGATACCATGCAAAGTCTTGTAAAAAAGGTTCGCATATATTACTCTTTCCAACTTAAAATCTTATATTAAATATTGTTTTGTTTGTTATATTGTTAGATTTTTGAGTGTTTTTTTCCTTAGATAGACTCAAGATTTTCTTTTGAGCAATTTTGTGCTGGTTTCATGAGCTGATGTACATGTATACACTTAGGCTTAAAGCTGTGAATATATGATCAAGATAGGCAAAAGGAAAATATTTGTTTTTATCAGAATGGAATTTACACTGATGTGTATTTTTGTTTTTTCTGGTCCTAATATTAAAAGAAACTTATTATCAGAGTGGAATTTCCCTTTAAGTCTATGGGAGTCTATGTGAGAATTCAGTGGTCAACAGGTTAAAGTAACATAAAGCAGCTTTGATTAATCACAGTCATATGTTGGTTTTGCTATTGTTAAAGCCCATAACATTTTAAGATAATGAATGTAATTATATGATATTTTTCGTTGTTTTGTACCACACAGGCTTCCATCATTCCAAGTTGGATGTTCATTGGTTGGATAAGCCAGATGGTAGCTCTTCTTGACAAACCAGAATCTTTAGCTGTCCAGGGCATCCTGAAAGCTATCGCAAAGGATTACCCACAGGTAATACAATCATGATGAGTGAGAGGAAATCTTCAAGCATACAACAAAATGTTTACACCCCCCCCCTTCCCTTTCAGGCGGTGTTAATATTACCAAAAACATGTCACTTGACTGTACTTACAATTAAAAACAAATACCGGAAATAGTTTGTTTACTGGCTTTGATGGACTGAGTAGCACTTACATACATGTACCATGCTCATCGATTGATATTTGAAAGGTTTTTGTGTACCATCTAATACACAGATATACATCTCTGTAACCCATGGTGAATGTTTCTTTTTTTTTTTTTTTTATAGTAACGTGTTCAGTCCCAAGTTTCAGTTGTTACTTGTACAGTCTTAATTTTTAGAAGACCAAATATTTCATACCAATTGTTGTTGGCTGCCCGCAAGAAGGCCCTGTTTGCAAGTGACAATACATCCACTTAACAAATGGATTATTCATACCCCTTGTAAAAGTTATGCTTTCTGTGATTTTCTTAACTCAAGAATGAAAGGTGGGCTGGTTGAATGAGGGTTTTTGTTGAACGCTTTTAGATGTAAGCTTTCAATATGTCACATGCTTAGGAAGCATAAATGGGGACAAATTAATGCTTGACGTACTTAGACAACCTGGTAAGGGGATGGAAAATTTATATGTTTACTGTAGCTCTTACGGCCATCTTGCGGTTAAACGATTATATGTTATTTGATGCTTGGGCTCCACTGTACCTATTTCTTCAGCATAGAGTTAGTAAAAGAATTCATTTGAGCCTGTGTATCACCTTGTATTTAGGCTCTAGTCTACCCATTCAAGATCAGCAGTGAAGATTTCAAACTTGGAGATAAATCAAAGGAGAAACAGAGGAAGGATGCAGTCAAGGAAATAGAAGACATCTTATCTACAGTACCACTAGTTGAGAATCTTACACTAGCTCTACAGAGACTTACCCATCCTGGATTCATCTTTAAGGTATATTATTTTGCAAAAATGATTGGATTTTCGGAAAGATCTTAATAATGCTAATACTATTCTCGGTTTAGATGGCACTCAATACATTGACGATGTCTCTTAAAGTGCTTCGCAGATGTTTCATTACTGTAGTCATCAGATTCATGCTTGCCTGCACACAATGTATGCACATTCAGCACTCCTGGGTAGCATTCTAGCCTGGCACTATTTTACACACTTACAATGCTGAGCAAAGTACAGTGACATTCTCATCCTATTGGGTACCCATTTAACACCTGGGTGGAGAGTGCCGAATGTAAATTGGTGTCCTCTCAAAGAAAGTTAATGCTAGGCTTGGATTCAAACTTTCAACCCTTGGATGGAGAGTCAAGTGAATGAACAGCTATATACCCCAACGTCTCCATCTTACATTGTATCTATAGACAAAGCTCTGAGCCAGTATTCCAGCCATTACTTGAGTCAGTATTTTACTTCTTAGCTTGAAATTGCTGAAGTCATATTCAGGTCACATCTATGTATATTACTCTAGTAAGCCAACTTGAAGAAAAAATACTCATTAGCCATCGTGTCATCACTTAGCCGATCCAAAATGATGCATTATAAATGCGTTGCCAATTTAATGAAGATTATACACCTTGAGCGGTTTCGATATACAGCTTTCATTGTAAACACAACATAGAAGTTTGTTTTGAGGCACATTTTTGAAACAATGAGGTATAACTTTAAATTGTACTCTTGATAATTCAATTCAGGTAGGTAACACAATAGATATAACATACTGTTTGCTCTCTTTGGCCACTTGCAATTCTAGGATTGGATCAGTGTGATCAACAGTAAGATGAACAGTAAGGAACGCGATCATCCTGCCATCAAGCAGGAATACCAGCAGCTTTATCAGCAGCTCTTTGAGTCCGGAGGAAGGCAAGGAGGACCCTCCAGCTCTAGCCAGACTGTAGAACCAGGACCTTACTGGAAGAAATTTGGAAGGGTAAGTAAACTGGTTGATTATTAAGCCTGGAAAACCTCCCTACAGATCTCATTATCTGAATTTAGAAGGGGTTTAACCAGTTGAAAACTAAGCCCAAGTTGCTGTTGCAGCTCTTATCTGACAGTAGAATCAGGGGTGTACATGTACTTGAAGAAAGTTGGAAGAATAAGGTGGTTTTCATTAGTTGTGAATTGGTACCTTGGTCACAATGCCAAACCTACTCCAAACCGACCAAGTTTAAGCTGTTATGACTTAAATGCTCAGGACGGAGTGTCCCCTTGCGCTCCTACGGGTGGTCTGCCTTCATTCATTTCTGTCCTGGGCTTGGTGTTGGGCAGCCTCCAGGCTTAATCGAGAGTCTTGGCGGATTTGGTCTTTCCACCTCAGGGGAGGACGTCCTGGTGGCCGTGGCACAGTAAAGTCATTGGTGTGGACTTGTATTGGTAGGCGTTCCTGTGGCATACGTACCACATGTCCAAACCATTTCAGGCGGCGGTTGGATATTTCCTCATTTATTGTCTTGGAGATTTTCAATGACTTTCTGATGTCTACGCTTCTGATTTTATCTAGAAGATGGACTCCTGCTATTGTCCGCAGACATCTCATCTCAAAGGTCTCCAGTTTATCCCGGTCAGTTTTCCTTGGCGTCCACGTCTCAGACCCGTAGGTGGCTATAGGACGAATGAGGGCATTATAAATCCTGACCTTCAGGGCTCTTGAAATATCTTGGTTGGTCCATATATTGTTTCTCAGTCTGCCAAATGCCCAGGAAGCTAGATTTGTGCGTCTCTTGACATCTTTGGTAACAGAGGGGACTACACTTCCAAGGAAGACAAAGTCTTCTACCTTCTCTATAGGGTTGCCATCTATTGAAGTCTCCCCATCATCGGTTGTCATGATTCTGCATTTAGCTGTGTTAATTTTCATTCCCCATTTGCCACAAACTTCCACCAGCTTGTTTGTTGATATTTGGAGTTTGTCATAGATGAGTTCGAGTAGAGTGGTGTCATCTGCATAGCGGATGTTGTTAAAGCGTATGCCACCCATCTGTACTCCACTGTCTAGGTTTTTGACATCTGCCATCACAAACTCTAGGAAGATGTTGAATAGACTTGGGGAAAGAAGACAGCCTTGCCTGACGCCTGTCTTAACTTGGAACCATTCCGTAACTTTACGATTTACGATGACAGCACATTTGGTCTGATCATACATATACTTAATGAGGTCAATCAGGTTCGTCTCAACTCCTATTGAAAGAAGGCACTTCCATAAAGCATCCCTCCAGACAGTATCGAATGCTGCTTTGAAGTCCACAAAATTCCAATGGATGGGGATGTGTCTCTCTTTGGCCTTCTCCAGCACTTGCCTGACAATGAAAATAGCATCAGTGGTTCTTCTGGAGCTCCGGAATCCACACTGCTCTTCCGATAAATGCTCTTCAATTGTCCCTTGGATCCTACTGAGCACCATCCTGCAGAAAACTTTAGCCGGCACTGATAGCAGTGTTATGGCTCGGTAGTTAGCTGGGTCAAGTTTATCCCCCTTTTTGTGCACAGGGGTAATAAGGCCTTTGCTCCACTCAACTGGTGTCTTGCCTTGCGTAAAAGCAGTGTTGATGATCTTCAGCAAGATCTGTGCCATTGCTGGACCACCAGCTTTCAGTGTTTCAGCTGCTATGTTATCAAATCCAGTTGCTTTGTTATTCTTTAGAGCCTTGATCGCAGCTTTAACCTCTTCTATGGTAAAAGGTGAAGTCTGGTTTTCAGTAGGAGGAGGTTCAGGTATATTGCAAAGTGTGTTGGTGTCTCTCGGGAACTCTGTATTAAGATGAGTGCTGAAATGTTCTTTCCAACAATCCAAAACATCTCCTGGAGCAGTCTTGAGGACCCCCTCTTTGTTCTTGGCTGCTGGCTGTATCTTCTCCTTCTCACCAGCTAGTTTTCTAACTTTCTTAAATAGCTCATGGCTGTCATTTCGTGCCTGTGCTGCCTCCATTTCCTCTACTTCTTTCTTGAGAGTCTCCCTCTTCCACTTTTTGACTTCATATTTAACTTTTTTGTTAAGGTGCCGGTACTTCATAATATTATGATTATTATGAGGTGAGTTCAGTTTAGTTACCCTAGCCTTCCTTCTGAGTTCACAAGCATCTCTCACATGTTCTGGGAGATGTTATGCAATGTTTTAATTGTTCAGATGTTGGTCTGCTTTCGGTCTCATTGGTGTGACTAAGGTATAAGCCAAACTTTTTTTAGCTAGAAGAAGGTTGGAAGGGCAAGTTGGGTTTTACCAGTTGACTACTAAGCCCAAAGTAATTTCTGCAGTTCTTATCAAAGAGGAGGACTGTGCTGGAAGAAGGTCGGAAGGGTACGGCGAGTATAACCAGTTGCAAATTAGGACTTCAGTCAAACTGCCGTACCTACTCCACTCCTACACAAGCCGGTCAAATTTGATCCATTTGATGTTTGATGTTTTACTCGCTCTGCTGTTGGTCTTCTTGGTGTGACCAAAGTCTCAGCCCAAGAAAGGTCCTCCATCTCTTATCAGAGAGTAGAAGCAGGACCTTGCTGGGGGAAGGTTGCTCAAGGGAGGCCAAAAAAGCAGTCTGTGTGGGCAGGTGGTCTTTATGAACAGTTTTTAGTACATTACTTTAGTACATGTGTCATCGGGATCCACTATTTAACAGAAAGAGAGAATGTTGTGGCCTTTATAGGCTGGTGGACTTTGTATACAGGTGGTCGCTAAGGGAGTTTTCACTGTAGTTTACTGTTTGTGGTTTGTTTGCTTCAGATCAAACATCTGCTGAAAGCTTTCCTCTTCCAAAGTAAGAGTAAGGCAAGTTCATGTAGCATATACCTGTTGTTTAGCTATAGAAAATTTTATGTTAATATTATGTTTGACAGTGTCAAAATCATGTCGTCATCATTTTGTTAAAAGAGAATGAAGTCTTGAAATGTTTGCTCTCTTTTTCTTAGGAATGGCAGAAGAGGTTTGATTCATCATTTGGTCAAGATGGAAGTAAGCTTGCAGCAATGGACTACAAGGTAAGACCAAGTCTGGAAACTCATCTGAATTGTAATGCAAAGGCTTTGCTGATTCAGCTGAGTACAGCTTTAAAGCACATTGATGATTTCCTTTTTTCCTGAGTTTTGATCCTGAAGAGAATAAACAATTTCTGAATGACAACAAAATATTTTCATTCCTAAAGGCTTAATACAGGAACCACTTGTTTACTCCAACATCAAGTCTTTTCTCCATTGTAGTAGCAGATACGCAAATACGCATTTTATGCTTTTCTTTTGTAGAATAAACACGACTATATTCTAAACCATCTTGGAAACGTTGTTAATTTTTACAATTACAAAATATCAGAGTACTGGCACAATTTACTCCCGTGACTGTTTACATACAAATGAGCATCATGTTCTAAGCATATTATGTCTGCATATACATGTATCAAGCATGGAACACATATCAATTGATTTCTTTGCTTGCAGACATGGTCCAAGCTAAGGCAGGACATCTGTGCAAAGATGACTCCAGGAAAAGATGACCCTGGCAATCTCAAGGAGTACTCTCCCTGGTTCACTGCGTTCCAGACTCTAAGGGGAGATGAACTGGAGATACCTGGTGGGTTGGTTCTACAATTTGCTTCAAAATTGTTTCAGGCTTTATGTTGTAAATAATAATAACACATTTAAATAGCCATTTTCCATATACAAGTTTTCAAGTTTTCAAGTTTAATTTCAATTCAAATCCATAAAAAAACATATAAGATACAGATTATATAATAATAATAATATTTACAGTGCTTATATAGCGCCTAACACTGACCTTGTCAGAAGTCTCTAAGCGCTCTACAATAATGCAGCATAACAGGCTGGCTTTAGCAGTGCAGCTGTTACGCGAGCTGCATTTCAAGGAATAAATTCCTACCAGGTACCCATTTACTTCACCTGGGTGGAGTGTGGCAAATGTAGATCAATGTCTTGCCAAAGGACATTAGTGCAGCGACGGGACTCGAACCGCAGACCTTGTGATTGATAGTCCGGCGACGTATCCACTCGACCACAATACCTCTACAATATATACAATATAGAAGACACAGAGCACATACAAAACGGAAACATGTCTACAAATATACCGGAATTATACAAAGTTAATCAGCAATAGAAATGAACTGGGGAAACTGCAAATAAAGCCATAACGTTCTGTTGAGGCAGTTTAAAATTATTTTATTAACTTTTATATAGAATCATTTTTGTATTTCTAGGTCTAATCCTTGATTCTGAAACCTTATGCTAAGGAAATGTACCACATTTCCCTCCTGGCCGTAGTCAAAGAAAGCCAAGACTCAACGACCGGACTGGACTTGGTATACTATTCGGATACAAGGAAACAACGACACTGCTATTCTTGTATTTACTTTGGATTTATTGTGTCTGTTTATTTATCTGTTTCACAATATTTTTTCTGATCCGTTGACAGGTCAGTACGATGGAAGCAAGAAGCCTCTCCCAGCCTACCATGTCAAGATCGCTGGATTCGACGAGACGGTGCTGACACTGTCCTCTCTACGCAAGCCCAAGTGCATCACGATCCGAGGCAACGATGAGATGGATTACCCATTCCTGGTGAAGGTTGGAGAGGATCTCAGGATGGATCAGAGGATAGAGCAACTCTTCTGCATCATGAACAGCATTCTGGCACAGGATGCGGCTTGCAGTCAACGAGGGCTCACTCTTACTACCTATCAGGTTGTGCCCATGACTCCAAGGTATGCCACGTAACATGATTTGACTGCAATTGTTATGATTGCGTTCATTGTCTCAGTGAATTATATGTAAAGGATATTAACGATAACAGGTACAAGATACACAAAGTCATACACCTGGCATGATGGTGATGATAATGATACTACTACTATTACTACTACTAATAATAATAATTATGATGGTGATGATGATGGTGATGATGGTGATGATGATAATAACAATGATAATTATAAATATTATTATAATAATGATAATAATACTAATAAAAGTCAGTGTCAGAAGCAATGAAGCATACAAAATACATTATATTCCTAATCATCCTTCAAAAGGATTTCAATTTTGCTGTGCAGTATGAGCAGAGGATGTACAATATTTTCTCTCTTAATTTTCTCTTTGAAGACTTGGTATTCTAGAGTGGGTAAAGAGAACAACGACCCTGAAGGATTTTATTACCAGATCCATGACTGAAGCTGAGCATAAGGTTTATACATCCAGGTAAGCTCCATTCACATTCACAATCACAATCGTGTTGCATACGTATGATCGTAAACTTTGTGGTAGTGGCAGGGTTGAACACCAATCCTGACTATTACCTCTCATGGCTTTGAAAATAAACTAAACTACTGTATTCTCCGTGTATGAGACGCAAATTTTTCCCGCCGTAAAAATTCAAAAGTCGGGGGTGCATCTTATAGACAGGTACAGGATATTTTGAGTCCTCAAAATGCTACTTCTTAGTGGTTTTCAAAAATATCTGTCTCTCAACATAATTTACATAATGCAAATAAAGAATAGGATCTACAATTTGAAGTTAACCTACATTCAACAATTTGAAGAGAAGAGAGTTGCTGTTTCTTTTTGCTTTTTGTTTTTTTCAGTCTCGATAAATTATGCCCCTTCACTTTGCTACCCGAGGCTCACCCTCGTCTCCAGCTCACTCGCACAGGTGGTATCGACTCACCACTGAAAAACTAGCCTGTCCAAATTTCTATTTGGACTCGGAGCAAAATTTGTCTGTCATCTTTAGTTTTAAAAACAACATTGTTAACATTATTTGTGACAAGTTCACAAGCACTTCAACTGTGCCTCATAATAAAATGAAAGTCCTTCCCTGCATGGGTTTCTGAACGCTGAAATAAGAGGCAATCTGATCTGGCTTGCTGTCCTAAAAAATAGGGGTGCGTCTTATAAACAAAGATTTACGGTACTAATTTGGACTTTGTGTGGTAATGCCAGGTAGGTGCCCACATTCAGGATTCTACATGTACTACATGTTGCCACTGAGAGTCACATATTTTATCTTTACCATTTCTCCTTCATCCACAGCTACAGTAAACAACTAAAGCTAGGGTAATAATTTCCAAAGCTCTCTGGAAGCCCATAGAGATGTTATTTCATAACGTATTATGCCCTATACAAGAACTGAATATTATTAGTATTATTATTTTCAATTGTATCACATTCCCTTTGTTATGTAATCACAGGACTACCGGACCAGTAGCTCTCTTCACTACTTGGCTTCAAAAATTCTGCCAAACTGATGGGAACATTACTAAACTCTTTACTGAAGCATACAAGTAAGTAGAACAACCTCAGCAGTGATGGTCAGTGAAAATATTTTCATAACTCTTTCTTTGTTGGAATGGTGATTCTTATACAAGGATTTCAGCAGTATGACATGGGAAATTGTGCATTCCTGTTTCAGCTTTTAAAGGGACTTGGTAACATTGTTCAGATGAGAGAGTGACTTCAATGCTAGATGTACAATTAAAGATAATCTGAAAGTTTGTGTGAAAACAGACCATTATTAATGATAAAAATTGGGAAAACTGATCTGATCTATTCCAAAATTCTCCCTACTATATTATTACAATTTAATTTAATTAAATTTTAGGTAAATGTAAATCAACCCAATGCAATTAATTGGCTCTATATACCATTCCAAACATTTAAGTGTTGAAAGATTTTAAAAAGCATGTTTTACTGTATGTCTTATTTTTAATGGAAAAACGGTTGGGAAAATTCAAGAATTTACAGTTCGAGCGTGTCGCTCAGTGACGCCTTTCAAGAAAACCATAAAAATCTTTGAGGTTTGAGAATTTTGTCAGGACTTTTTGCATGTTAGAGGGTTAGTATGGTAAAAGGAATATAATAAGTAACATTTTGTACAAAAATTACGCTGTACAACTGCGCCATTGCTACTGGTATGGAGACATATGATGTGGAACAAATGTAAATAATGTGAAACCATGAAAACTATGATTTTTCTTTCTTTCAGGAAAGCAAATGAGACAGAGACTATAAAAGCCTTCAGAGAGAGAGAAGCAAAACTACCTTGGGACCTTCTTAGGTATGTTTCTTTTATTGATAAATGATTAATATGTTCCAAATTATATAATCATGCAATATTAATAATTCATAATTGTGGGTTCTTGTATAGCACTCATATCAGACTTGATACTCCTGGTCCTCCACAATTATTACCCCGGCTTTAGAATGGCTGCCATTATGGTGCTCTAGCAGACAGAGTTATAAATGTTTTCATATAGATACATCGACATGCACATGCAGCACTGGATAATTTTATTCCACAAGTGAAAGTGTTGTGAAATTATGAATGTCTATTACATTTATCAGATTTCTATCAAAACAGGAAATTGTGGAGGAGAGCCAACAAACTTTTTTAGTGCTTTAATCTCCGAAAATACTAATACAGACTTATGTTCTTGACTTGTCGTGACTTATCTTGTACTTGAATTTCTTGTTCATCTGGGACTGTGCATTATTGTACTCTAATGTTTGTGAAGTCGAAAGCTTATTGTATATCTGCCTTCATTGCAATTTTGTGTTTCTTTAGACGAGGCTTCATGCAGCTGAGTGCTTCCCCTGAAGCATTCTTGACGTTGAGGGCTCACTTTGCTCGATCGCATGCTGTCCTGTGTATCTGTCAATACATTCTTGGTATCGGTGATCGCCATCTTTCAAACTTCTTGGTCAGTTTAGAGACAGGAGGCATGGTGGGCATTGACTTTGGTCATTCCTTTGGATCAGCTACCCAGGTAAGAAGGCTGCAAACCAGTCATATGTTGTGAGAACAGACTTTATTAGTTTAAGTTGTATTATCATAAAATGAGAAGGGAACTGTGTCATTTTCTTGCCATTATTGTGTCATTGATTATTTGAGGTTGATTTATTTTCTTCAATTTATTTCACAAAGATGAATAAAACCACTTCAAATGCTACTTGTCTAAAGATAAAATAGTACTTTATGTTTTACAGAAGAAATATTCTACATTTTCTTTGTGTCATGTCTACAATTATTCTTGACAGTTCTTGCCGATCCCAGAGCTGATCCCATTCCGTGTGACCAGACAGATCATCAACCTCATGCTACCCATGAAGATAGATGGCGTCCTACAGAGTACCATGGTTCATACATTGAGGGCGCTTCGTCAGAATCATGAGCTCTTAGTAAACACGATGGATGTGTTTGTGAAAGAGCCATCTCTCGATTGGAAGGTTGGTTTGTAGACTAAGAAGAAAATGGCTTGTTTTTTAATAGACCTGCAATGCATTGTATTTCATGTTTCTCTCCCTAGCATCTGGTTTCCAACCATTTAATTCACCTGCTCTGAATAATGGCATCTCTATGTATGGAATCATTTTGCATACATTACTTGTTGCTATGTCGGGCCATCTTCTCACAAGCCTTTTAAATGGCAAGAGAAGTATTTGTTTGAAATGTATGGAATTTTTAGACATGTCTATTGTATCAAAATAATATCGCTAGTGACATCTGTTTGTCTCGCAATGCATGGTCAACAAGGGATCAAAAGATCACAAAGTTTCATGCGCCAAGTTATTTGACCGCCAGTCCACCCGTAGAGTATAAAAGACGCTTGCTTACAAATATATTTTATCACATGACGAAGTGGCGCACAAAACTTTGAGATCTTTTGATCCCTTGTTGACCATGCATTGCGAGACAAACGAATGTCACTAGCGACATTACTTTCGATACTATATCCGCAATGAGTAATATATATAGCATTATGTCTATTGGAGTACCTATTATGTGGTGCTTTGAACCTAAATGGAGCCAGAAAAGCTGTTTTAAAAAAGTGGATTAAAAAACAAAATGAAATGTGATCATTTTTAAATAATCCTTAATTGCAGTGGCCCTAAACTGGATTTCCTAAATATTTGTTTTGTGATTTGTAGTGTTTCGCTGTGAAGCAAGCCGATTACCAGAAGTTGTCTGAAGATAGTCGCGAGGACATCTCATGGTACCCTAAGAAAAAGATTAAATTTGCAAAGATGAAACTTCAAGGTGTTAACTCAACGTACATCACCAAGTAAGTATCCTTTTTCTTTTTCAACCCTTATCCTAAAAGTCCCGGGCCCATATTCAATTCAATACAATATGTATAAGACTTGAAAGAAGACAAAAATGGAACTGATAGGCCACTACTGTTGTAATTATTTCACAAAATGTCTAGAGACGGGGCACTGATGCGCTCCTGGACTGTCAGTGTTGAAATATAATTCCTTGTTTTGGGACCTTTGTGTGACCTGTAGTGAAACACTTTGTGTTTATGAAATCGGACAGAAGAATCATTGTACATTTTTGAAGCAGTAAGCTGCCTCGTAATGATTAAGATCATGTGCCATATTCACAAAAGTGCAATGAAATTATAACACAAGTAAAGTGTAGGGATGGCTATAGCAGCAATTCTTGTAACAAGACCATACTTTATTTGATGTTTACTCTTCTATTTTACACTACAGGGCAGAGCTAGAGATGGGGCCGCATTCAAAGGACGCGAGGGACGCTCCGTTCTTGAAAGCATTGAAGTCTACATGTGGTGGAAATACAGAGAGCAAACGAGCACAATCTAAGTCAAAAGGACTAAGCGTTGAGGATCAAGTCGCTTGTCTAATTGATCAAGCCACTGACCCTCGTATTCTTGGGAAAACCTACCAGGGATGGGAGCCATGGGTCTAGGTCTATTGGTCATTCATCACTGGAACATCAGATGGACTTCATAAGAGCAAGTAAGCATTGTGTCCGTCTAAAGGACTAAGCGTTGAGGATCAAGCAACTTACCCTCATATTCTAGGGAAAACTTGGCAGGGATGAGAACCATGGGTCTAGGCCTATTGATCAGTCATTACTGGAACATCAGATGGACTTCATTAAAGTTGGATTGTACATGTCATGTTTTGATATCATTGTATGAGGTATTGCATGGTACAGCATAAATAGTAAATAGTTTTTAGAACCACAAGGTACCTTTCCACTAGCTTTGGTTATTATCTTAAAAGATAGAGATAAACTTAGAAATTCTGTTCTCAAAGTTCCTTAACAGGTTCGGATGAATAGTACCAGTAAGGCATATTTTTTAAAATTAACAATCACATTGTCATTGAAATATCATTGTTGATTAGTCATTGTGAAACATCTACTCTAGAAATATTCAAGAAATTGGGTATGTACATTTGGTACATGTGTTCTTTGCCTCTTACTAGTGCTTCCTGTAGAATGTAAAATATATGAATAAAATGTTGCATTAGTAAAGGCATGAAGTAATAGTGTATAATCAACTCAGTCTTGGTCAGCGTATTTTAACCTTAGAGCCACTCGGCCTGTACAGTTTTGAAAAGCAACACATTAATGTACATGTAGAAAGGAAGAGAACTGAAAATCTGAATAAAATGTGGATGTGTGAATTATATTTCTTACAAGTACAGATAGAGTTATGTACACATTTACTTGTATCAATAAGCAGTAGTTACTTGCAATGTCTAATTCACTTTAATTCACAGCAGAATTAGTCGATTGAATGTATTTTCTTCTTGTGATTGCCGGTGAGCTCTGCAATACAGCAATCAATATCATAATGCAGAGAAGTAAAATTCTGTCAGAAGGGCTTACTACAGGATGTTTGGATGTAATTATTTGTATTCCATACATGTACAAAATGAAATATGGTTATAAACAAACCTGTTGAGCAGTCTATTATTGAATAAGAGCAGACTGTTTAAAGAAGGCAGTAGATATTGAATAATCTACAGGTAGTAATGTGAGTTCGTGAAATTCATAATATATACTCAGAAGGTAATAGTGTATTTGTAAAGCGCTTAGAGACATTTTTATTAAGCGCTATATAAAAGCTAAATATTATTAAGAGCACTAATTCATATACATTCAAACCTGCTTTAGTGAAAACCTGTCTACAAAGACCACATTTTGTATTTCCCTTGGGTGGTCTTTATAGACATGTTCCATTATACAAGAACACAGTGTCAACAATCCAGGGTTCCCACGGTCATGAAAAAACCATGGAAAGTCATGGAAAATGTTTAAAAAATCTCCCAGTCATGAAAAGTCAATGACATTGATTGTGAGTGTGGGACGTATGTGGCTAAGGCAGCCAGTTTGAACTGACGATGTACCTGGTATCCATATGCCTCTCAACAAATTGTTTATTATGTATTGACTAAATCTGAGTGATAGCTCAAGTTTGGATGATGCGACATTTTAGGTATCTCTGCATTCATCATGTCAGATAGAAATATATTAGATCTGTTTGTCGCATATTTATATGAATACCTGCTGAAATACGACCCTATGCGACTGAATTATCAAGAGCATTTTATTTCAATTATATTGTTTTTTATTCCATCTCAAAATTGACTGATTGAGCAATAAGATTAAGAATGATCAACATTCCTCTTGAGTGATTTTTATTCCCTTTCTGTGCAGTTGTTAAAATACCAAGTGATTAATTATGTGCATCAATGAATATGGTAAACCTATATAATAAGAAAGTCAATCAAGCTTTATACATTTCATTTAACCCATTGCTTACTGGAACCTTGTGGTCCCTGTGTTAAGCCTATGGGAATTAGATAAATCAGTAGCCAACGGGTTAAAAAATGCTAGTCTGTAAAATGAAGCTTTTGAACTTACTCAGTTTAGTATCTATCCTACATGTAATGTATCTTTGAGATGCCATTTTGCAAATTTGCAAAGAAATTATTTTTTCACATGACGAATGTGCCATATCTAATCCCTCAGTCACACCAACAAAACCAACATCACGCCGACAACAGACCAGCTAAAAGATTACATTACCCCTGTGGTAAAAAATAAGTCAGCTTGGAGTCAGTTTGGTGGCGTGACCGAGGTATATTAAAAAAATATTAGAAAGCTAGTTTAGTGTGTTTATCCGCCTTTTTCTTTAGGCACTTATTATGCAGTTTATTTTTAACACATGATCTCATTCCATGTACCCAAATCTTGTTTCATGTGTATCGTTTGTAGAATATCAAGCTTAAGCTGTACATGTCTTTTTGTGTATTTTGTTTCTGTGTTACAGTCCTGTGTAGCAAGAAACAGTAGAAGTGAACTTGAAGTGGGACTATAAAAATAAGAAGCATTTTCATTGTTACTACTGTGACTTTCATGTACTAAATATTACTTTTATGACATCACTTTTCACAATAAATAATAGACTACAAGAGAAATACATTTTCTGAATGTTTTCATTTGATTTCTTAAATGTACACAATAAGCATGATTTATGCCTTGTATATAAATATGATGGAAGTTAAAGAAGGGCACACACAACAGTTTTTCCTGAACAAGAATGTAGTCGTTCTTCTTCGTCAAATCCTCCTGTACATTAGGGATACAAATCAATCATCCTAAAAACAATACAAGGTGAATTTCTATGATTACTTGTGTGTACATGACATTTAGTATCAACGTACAAAACATTACTCTCCATAACCAATAGTGGCAACTGCAGATGAAGATGTACACTAATCGAGTACATATGTTTTCTACTGGTATTTGTATTCATGCAACATTTGAATCAATTTTATTAAAATTAAAACCTGAACTTGAGTCTTCAAATGTAAAATGAACTTTTTCCCATGATAAATATTTCGTTTGAATACCATAATGAACAAGAAATTGACAGTGAAAGTACAATTTCATTTTGTTTTTATCCATTTCCATCCTCTGGTATGAAAATTAATTAAACTGTCAAATCATCAGGCAAACTATAATTTTTATTTCAATTTCTTGATGAATAGGATGTTATCTCGGCCTGGACCTAATATGATTCTTAATGGAATTTGTTATCTAACAAATAACCATGTTTTAAGAGGAAATATTTGACACAAGACATTTCTCCCCTGTCTATTACAGATCAAGTGAGCAATGATTTATGGGTCTTTCAACAATTTTTAGTTAATAGGCTATAAATACATGTGTGTATATTGATATTTAGAAACAATACACAATGAAAATATGCGAAGAATTCGCTTTTCTATAAGAGGATTATATCTTACATAAATTGTCTGCGCAGAGCTAAAGGGGTGTTAATGATGAAGGATGCATGTAGTAGAACACCATAAAAGCACGCAGCAGACAGTATCTTAATGGGGGGGGGGGGGGGGGGGCTCCTCTCCTTTTTACTTCTGAACTGTAATTCCATCAAGATGAAAAACCCTTCAATTCAATTTCATTCTAATGCCAATGGAAAAACCTTTATATTGACTGGGAGAATGTTCCATCATCCATGTCTTCACAGTTCTGGGGGAGGAGTTTTTATATTGCTGAGTCGTGGGTTAAGGTGTGGTCGAGATATCCTTGTGCGTGAACAGCTCTTGTTAATCTTGTGGATTTGGTGATGTGTGCCTCTGACAGGCGCGGATCAAGGAATTGTCATTGACCTCTTCCTCTCATGTTTCTGCTTCTATTAAAACCATCTTTATATCAGGGAGGACTTCTCCTTCAAGGTGTTAACATCCCCAAGACCTTTGAGAACGTCTATAGCACACGATGGCCCGTATTTTTCGAACTTTTGAACATTTAAAACCGATGATTACCGGTATTTTATGCTTTTGTTCAAAATAATCAGAAGGTAGTCTGCGCTCTAACTTTTCTTTGTTAAACGTGATTTCAGACAAAGGGTCGGTTCAACTAATATTTGGTAAATTGCGGTCTAATAATTTTCTGGGTCTACATTCCCGTCTTTTGAAGCTTATTTGTTGGTGATCTGGCGCAAAGCGTAGCAGAGCACCTCAGTTGATTTCGTCAGAATCTATCGTTTTCTTCGATTTTTCCTTCTTTTTCCAACAAAAAGGGGGAGCATATGGAAACGTATCATCCACTCAATCTGACTTGCGTGCATAGAACAAATAAGCATTTTTCCATGAAAAAGTGAAGTTTTCTAAAAATGTGCGCTTCTTTCCAGCATTGGGGCGCCCGGAAGTCACTCGGGTAACATTTCATAAAGTATAATATAAAAAGACTATATGCAAATTTTCTGTACTTTCGTCGGAAAAAATACATTTATCCAGCACAATGTTGTCTCTTTTTGCGTTGGAGAAGAGCAAATACCGAGTTTCAATCACACTTTGGCCGCTCTCGCAAACTCTCACTCGTTTCACTGTGTTCAAGCGACTTTGGGGCAAGCGGTTAATGAAAATACTTATCGCCGGACTTATCGTTAGCTTTCTTCTGGTATTAAACTTGTTTTGATTGATTGTATAGTTTTGTCGGAATAAAGGAAACAAAAAGGCTCGACCAATAACTTATCAGCGTCTGAATTGACCTTTTGACCTTGAATTCCCTGATGCAAGCGCACTAATGACGTCATCTTCACTAAATCGGTCTCTTTTATCGTAAAATGCGACACTTTCACAATGTTTATACATCTTTTTTTATTATTAGTATAAAGATATAATATATTTCTTCTGATATTACTGAAGTTTGGGTTTTATTCAATGAGTAATTTTAAAATAAGAGCCATTTTACTGTTTTAATTTACTGGATATGGTACCATCATGGGTGTCGATCCCGGGGGGATGGGGGATATATCCCCCCCCCCCCCCAATAATTCACCATCAAAAAAAAAAATAATAATGATGAGAGCCCGATGAGAGTAGTTAATGGTTATTACTCGCAAGATGACCATCAATATACACATTTTGCTATCTCATTTTCATAATACATACATATATAAATAGAAAACGAAGTAAATAAGACGACCGTATATGACACAAGTATAAATTTAATTCTCGCTCATACGGCTTCATCAGGAATTGATGAATTTATTCAATTTATTCAATCAACAGCATCATAGAAATGCAGTGCGCCAAATGAAAAGCCGCAGAGTAAAAAGCAACGAGCTTAGTAAATGTTAAGCGCGAAGCGCAAAAGTGCAAAAAAGCAGAAGAGAGTGGGAGAGAGAGATAATGAGAGACAGAGAGGATACAGGCGCGTAGCCAGGGGGTGGTGGGGGCGGTCGCCCCCCCCCCCAAAAAAAGAGAGAGAGAAAGAAGATAGGAAGATGACGTAGGAAGACAAAAGGATTAAGAGTCGAGAACGGTACAACGAATCGTCTTCTTTCTCTAATAATTTAATGAAACGTCGAAGCTTCCGCGCTTCGCGCGTGAAGGAGGGGGGGGGAGTGGACTGAATTCAGGAAGGATTAAGAGTCGAGAATGGTACAACGATTCGTCTTCTTTCTCTAATAATTTAATGAAACGTCAAAGCTTCCGCGCTTCGCGCAGGAAGGGTGAAACTTTCCCTCCCTGCACCCACCCCCTAGGAGGTACTCACTCCCGCCCCCCCCCCCTAAATTATAATCCTGCCTATATGCTTGAGAGGATAATAACCCAGGTAGCAAGCCCATGTGGGACTCACATGGGTCCCATATTCTCTAAAATGTTATCTTTATTGAGGGTGACTTGAAAAGGTTAATAACTTGGAAGGGAGGGGGTGCAACCTGCCACACGCCTCTACCTCTTGTTTGCTTTGACCCATTGCCGAAAATATTTTGGCACCTATCATCCCCCCCAACCGAGGATACAAATCGACACCCTTGCGTACCATTAAAGTCGCAGGGTAGAAAGATCCCGGCCCCCCCCCCCCCCCCCACTCAGGTTTCAAAATGACCGCATGCGTGTTGCCAAAATGTCCTTTTCGTAACAAAAGAAAAAGGTCGAGCCGTATTGACTTTACACACCGGACTTTTGCTGAAAAGGGGGGGGGGGGGGTGCGGAAAAAGGCTCGTATACAAAAGAAAAAGGTCGAGCCGTATTGACTTTACACACCGGACTTTTGCTGAAAAGGGGGGGGGGGTGGTCGGTTGGAACACGCATATGCGTACCCTAAATAACACTGAGTGGGGGGGCCGGGAGAAAGATGCATTTGCCAACCGCGCCAAATTTAATTTACGTTCCGACATTCTGTTAAATGGGTTCGTGTTGTTAAGAATCCACTGCTTTCTGCTCCAACAAACGTCCACATGCGGAGTCGTTTGTCAACTAAATTATTCAAATTTATGGATGCTTCCTAGCTTAAATCCCAGGTGTTTGTGTTGCTGTTGAAGCATTTTATTCACCTGCTATCATTCTTTGTACTCCAATTGCCAGAACGCAAATTTCATTTTGGTTTTATCGTTTCATCAGAGTCGTTTATCAACTATATGTATTCAAATTTATGAATGCTTCCTCCCCATGTGTTTGTGGTGTTTAATGCATTTCATTCACCTGTTATTATTCTTTTTTCTCCAATTGTTAGAATACAAAATGCATTTTGGTTTTATAGTTTCATGCAATAAGTAAGTCAATAAAAGAGTATGTTCTGCACAATAAAAACAATGTGTGTCCCTATTGTAGAATGTAATTTGTCCCCTCATTTTGTAATAGTTGTGAATGGGTAAATTATAATTTACCCATTCACATAATGGAACTACCTGCCCGGTGAAGCCAGTGGCCTGTGACCCCTGAGTACTCAACACCGTGTGGGAGTCAGTTTGTGGTTAAATCCTTTTATGAGACAAATACAAGCAAACGTTTCCATATGCATGGGTGGGAACTCGCACCTGCAAAGGTTATACCTCGAAGCGGAAAAAAAATAATTCATAAACATTGGTATATACCCTACTACATTATCAGGGATGACTTTAAAACAAATTCTCGTTATGTTCATGGTCTAAGATGATTTCTCGTAGGGGAGCAAGAGGATGCAACGTCCTATGCATCTAAGTCAGTAAGTCAGGTCCAAGATACTGCTTCGATCGTCACCATATTTTGCAGTCGAGTGTGACGGTCTGAAAAGTGTGATAGTCCATTAAAATATAACTTGAACCAGAGTCATATATATGCCTACTTTAACTGAGTATTAAGGAGTATTATTGTCCTTCTTACTCTCGTTATGGTCAAGGAATCCACTCAATAACTACCAGTCTCTGGCTGCATCAAATCAGCTTAGTAGAGCCTTTGCAGTACGCCCCTCAGCCTTGTCTTACTGTGCAGACATTGTTACCCACAGCGATTGACAAGGCTTTGTGACTGCAAACTATATCATAACATAAGCCTGGTACAAGTAGGCCTTCAGTATAGATAGTACACTTTGTTTGCGAGAACATGTTTGTGGGCTTTCCCCATATTTTCACAAAGTGAGCCTAGGCCGAAAACGAGGTGGGTGTTATTTCCTGTTATGTTGA